ATAATATAATATAATATAATATAATATAATATAATATAATATAATATCCAGCACTTATAATGAGTGTTATAACAGAGTTGAGAAGAAGACAGATAAGATGGCATAGTAACAAAGTATTGGGAAGTGCTGAAGTAGCAGGAAACATGATGTGTACAAAATATCACGCTGGGTGGTACTAATGTCAGAGAGTGGACAAGGACTGCTATCACAACTCCTTGCTTGCTCGGACCACTGAATGGGAGCTGAAACAGCATTTTTCAATGGTTCTTGGCCATCTCCATCCAATCAGGAGGATATTTGTCCATCTTTAGCTGGAAACATTAGCAGACCCCAAACAATAGTGTTTGTTGGTGTCTCATTTTATCGTTAATTAGACCCCAAATGGTCCAATTAATATGTGAGGATGGGAGATCACCCAGCTAATTTAAATATAAACTCATTTAGCAAAACCAAAAACATTTGAAAAATATTTTAGATGCTTGCAAATCATTTAATTCTACAATTTTCACATACCCCTATTTAGAATGGCATTTGTGTATATGAAAGGCTAGTATTTTAAGTAACTTATTAATATTCACTCTCAAAAATGTATATTCAACAAGGTCTATAAGAAAAACCTTACATTCCTTTTAGATTACAGATTAATATTTATCCTCAGAACTATTTCCAGAAAATCTTACCAGACATAAACTGTGTAATAGAGGATAATTCCATTTGGCTCCAGTGGTTGTTTCCATGACAACTTCACAGTGACACCCGACAACTGTTTTACCGAGAGGGATTGTGGAGGTGAACTAGGAGCTATAAAGTGAGAGTGCAGAACACAACAACTTGTTAGACAGCTAAGATCTGAGTGACATGGTTAAATGCAGTATCTTTAAATAGGATTTTAATTATTTGTGCTAGGAAGTGAATTATGGAAGCACACAGGTACAGTATCCATATTAAATGGTGTTATAGCCAGGCTTCTTTACTTTTTCAGCCAGATGATAAAGGAAGATTTTTCATGGTAGTGTTAAAACATCTGTTTCTGTGATTCAATGGAAAAAAATATTTCATGAGAAAACAGAGCAATGGGTTTGTCACACTGATTCACCTACTGTCCAAGTATATTATTGTAATTTTTTCCCTTCTAATAAAAGCAAGAGCTTTTTATTGCATATAATGCATATAAAATATAACAAAATAGTTCCCCTGAGGAGAAGTGGAGCTGGAAATAATTATATGAAGCACCGAAAGATGGGAAAATTGATGAGCATAGCATTGAGAGATGATAAAAATGTGGGATACCATGCAGAGTTAAATCTTTTCACTCCATCAAATAAGGAACACATTCATACATTTAACATGTCATGAAAGAAAATATACATGTATTCAACGAATGAGACAACTGAAATTCATTCTAAGATGAACACCAGACAGCAGTATAACCACTAAGTACTGAGATAGCATAGCTAAATAAAAACGTTATAATACATTTTGATTTCATTCTAATTAAAATATTTTAAGGTTTATGCAAATGTTGCTGTGGTGAAAATGTATCTGTACGTATGCTTAGTAATAATGATATTTTTCACTGAAGTGTTATTGAGGAAGTAAAACTGTTAATTTTTTTTCTGGACTACCAGATAAAGGTATTGCACTATGCTGTAATGTTAACATTACTTTTGTTGTTCAAATTAAACAAAACAGCATCATGTACTAAAAATTCAGGTCATGGCTGTGGTCATGCATGGAAATTGAGAACATAAGCATAGCTATTAGCAAATCTGTGAAGCATTCGGTCTGATGCTCTGAACAGTGTGTACTTTGGAGTAAGATACATGTGGCGTATTATAAATATTTTTGTTGCTCTTCCTTTAATTGCACTGTCTTTCTCAACCACAGAGGACAGCATAAATGTTTTAAACATCTTACTCTCAGTACATTTTGGAAGAAATCTTAATTTTGCCTGAACAACGGCTTAATAAAGTCCGTGAATGCCTCTATTTACTGGTAATAAATAGTGACAGCTGTATTTAGTGTTTACTTGCTATATTATCCTTGGTAGCCCTACAATAAAAGGTCTATCAAATACTGAATTTCACATGTCTCTGGCATTTCTTGATTCTAAGATATTATTTGTCTTTAACTCATAGATCTCCTTATTCAGCTAACAAACTCTTTAGTAAAATACAGAATGAATGTTTGCTCTAAAGAAAAAACATTTTAAACAAATGGCATACATTTATATAATTGAACTGTTTTTGATGTATTATAGCAACATTTATATTGAGCAATGTAACATGGTATGGATTGTGGATGAGAGCCTCTGGCCACTTTTGGAGTTTTGCAGAGATGCACCACCACAGCAGGAACCCCCAGAGGAATTGTGTCTAATGGGATGGAGAGGGAGCGTAGATGTTAAATCATTAAATAAAGTATAGTATACACTCTGATAATGTATGGCCAGCTCTGCTGGCTAGTATGGAGGGCAGTGCCCTGGCCCTACCTTTGACTCACCCCTCCATGCTCAATTTGGGGTGTCTAGTGCCACTGATTAGGTCCTTTGAGCACTAACACAATACTAATAACTATAACTATAAATTCATCAATTTAGAAGAGCCAAAGACTCTAAGCACAAGAACTATGGCTGTTCTAGATCCACGTGCTGGGAGGCAAAAGGAACGGGGATCTGTGCTTTCTCCATTCGTCCACTTTTACACCCAGGCAGAGACAACCTCCATCTGACTTACTGCTGCCCTTCTGTAATAGTAAAATAGTAAATAGTAAATAGACTAAAATAGTAACAGTAAATTAAGGGTTCTTAAAAATGGAAGACACTGATGAGATATAAGAAGAACAACAGTGTTGCTTTCCAAATACAGAACTTTTGTGATTTGACATAAAACTTATACTAATAGAGGTATTAAAGAATAAAGATAAATCTAAATGAAAAGTGCCTATATAAATCAAATGTACAAAGACCTCTGAAACAAAGTTTAAGACTTGTCCACTAGAAGTGGACAATGATATATTGTAATTTCTTTTCTGACTTACCATCTTCATTAGTCAGTATGTTTAGAGGTGCACTACGAACCCCTTCACCCTTGCTAGTGCTTGCAGACACCTCAACTGTATATTTGGTATATTTCTTTAAACCTAAAGAAAGAAGAATGCAGTAAACTATTTTATAAATTCTGAGGGGGATTTCAGTGAATATTTTTTTTAAAAAATAGTTAAAAAACACTAAAGTTAGGCTTCTGAGTACTTAAGTAGGCAAAAGTGCTGAGCATCTCACAACTCCCACTGACCTCAAGGTTGATATTAGATGCGCCAAATATGTCTTAGAAGAATTTTTTTAATGATTTTTTCTGAGTCCCGCAGCATAAAAGTGTCTTGTCCAATAACACCTAAGACTGGAGACCAATTTTCTGCTGGACACAGTCCACATGTGTAAACTTTTAAGTGGAAATTAAGTGGAAATTACCCTTTTAAAGTATTTCGGAAACTGGGACATCCACAAAATCAGATTTATAACTGAAATTAAGTCTCAACTTTAGCCATAATCTGAAGTATTTCAATATCTTCTAGTTTTACAGGAATGTGAAGGCATCTGTTTTTCTTAATATAGAAATCTGCATGTTCATATAATTAAAAAATCATTTTGTTCCATATAATGGATTGTGTTTAAAACTGAAGTGTTAAAATTAAGACCCTGATCCCACAAATACTTATACATGTGCTTAATTTTATACATTTGAGTAGTCCCACTGAAGTCAGTGAAACTAAATCTGAGAGTGTTTTCAGGATCAAGATCTTAGTATTCACAATTAGTACTAAATTTAGTGTCAGTGGTGGCTATCTTTTTGAAAAGTGCCATCTAATGACATTGGCATATTAAAGTCAAGGTTGTAAACATTAAGTTTCCAGAAGCATTAAATATTTCCTTCTGACTGGAATTTGTCAACATGAACTATACAATATCAACCAACCAGGACACTATCAAGTTTCAGATTGTTACATACTGACCTGTAATACTTATCGTCAGAAGAGTAGTGTTTATGATTCTTAGCTCAGTTCCATTAATCCTCCTGAGATATACAGTGTACTTCTGTATAATCCCATTGGGAACAGATGGTGGAAAAAATGATAACTCTACTTCTGTAGATGAGATGTTCTTGTAGGTTATGTTTTCTGGTGCACTATCAGGAACTGAAAGAGGAAAATTCAGACTTAAAAAAAGAGTCAAGTCAAAGTTTTGTTCATTAGTTAAGCAATAAAAAATATAGTATATTGTAAATATTTGATCTTTTTTTACTAAAAGCAATCATTTAATACTTTTACAAGTTGAGCTGCAAGGTCAAAAAGACATGAAAAATGTATCTATAATATATAATGCAATTATCTGTATAATGAGGTTTTTTATGTACAGCCTTTTACAAATTGGTGGAATCCTCTTGACAAATGAGCTAAAGACCTTCTCACTTCCCCCACCCTGTGATGCTGAGCTTCCTCCCTGACACCTTAGTAGCTATCACCATGAATTTCCAACTTGGCTCTCTCTCAAGAGACTCTTCATTGATGTGCTGCCAATATTTTAACAAATGGTTTCCACTAACATTTTTTCCATTTGCCTGTGCTGCTCCACATGCTTGCAAAGAGGTAGGGACTGGGCAATCTTTTAATTTGTTTTCCCGTTTTAAAAAAACCATGTTTTCCCAGATCCCAGAACCAGGGAGGGAGGCACCAGCACATGATAACATTGTATAATCATTTTCTGAAACAAAATACAAATATAATATAAGTTTGATTATCACTGCACAGCTTTCAGTTTGTGCAGTTTGACAAGGTAGAGGAGGTAAATGGGTTTTACAGGAGTTCTGGGTATCCTCCCTAGGAAATATTTTGAAAATACCTGCCACTTGATGCAACCCATTGCATTCAAAATACAAAACTTATGCTCTTCAGATATATTTGTATGAACCCCAGAGATAAGTCACCTCTGGCTAGGAGGATTTAGCAGTATCCAGAGAGGGGATGAATTCCATCAGAGGCTGGGAAATCATTCTAAACATCCTCCTAGTTTAGTGGTGGAATTTTAATAAGGATCTCTCAAACACAACAATGCTTCAATAGGTCCCAGTTCCCTCCATACTTTCAATCTTAAAATGCCTGCCTTCCCTATGATACATCCCATCTCTGAAGATCTCCTAATGAATGTTTTCGCAGGTTCTCTTCTAGTTCTGGATTCAAACCTATTGTTCTGCATCCACTGCACCCCCAAGAGAGGAGGAAAGGAGGACCTGAGGTTATAAGGAATGATCTGAACCTAAAATAAATTTGTTTAGTTTAAAGAACGGGTGAAGGTTTCCAACATTTATTTTTTAACACATGCCTATTAATAATACACTTCAAGTATAAGTTTTTCAGGCCTGTTGCTAAGTGTACAATACTTTCTTGAACATATTCCTTATCAGGTAAAATCCACTGTATGATGCAATGTGTTCAGCTACAAATGGTGGTAACTAGTAAGGGAGGGAATGACCAGCTAGAAGGTCTTTGGCAGTTATTTATTACAGATTTATGTCATCATTACGACTTTGGTATCTAGGTTCCTACTGACTTTTAAAAACAAATGACAGATTATATTAGCTAACGTTCAGCTAAGTAAGCACAAAGTAGTTTCACTTTCAGGACATCATATTGTCATCTTTGCCTACCCAAATGGACACAGGCCCAAATTTTCAAATGTGAATGCATAAAGTTAGACTCCAAAATACACACATAGGAACCTCTATCAAAGTGGCCTGCTTTTCAGAGTTGCTGGGTACCTGTATTTCCCACTAACTTCATACCTTTCTCTATCTTGATAAATACGTCACCATGATCTAACTTCCTTCTCTTGCAGTTGCTACCATTCTATTTCCCTTCTCCTATTTATTTCCAAAATCCTAGAGCATGCTGTTCACTCTCATTGCCTTGACTTCCCCTTCTTCAGATGATCCCTTCCAATTTGGCTTTTGTCCTCCCCATTCCAATACAACTTCCCTTATCAAGGTTACTAATTTCTTATTTATTGGCTCCCCACATACTCTCCTGTTCCTCTGTATCCCTAAGAGATCTGTGCAGTGTCTTCCTCCATGTCTCCCTTTCACTGTGACCTTATCTATTCCCAATCATTCACCCACCGCATATATACCAATTATTCAAAATCACTCCTCTTCTATACTCCCGACTAGAACTAGTCAAAAAAAACAGGGGCTATTTTGTTTAAAAATGCATTTTTGTGCTCCAAAACTATTCGTGAATTTGACAAATAGTTTCAGCCAAAAAACAAATAGGGGGAAAAAATTAGAAAGTTAAAATGTTTCATTTCAATCATTTGGTTTTGTTTTGACTTTTTGTTTTGAATTGGCATTTCAAATTCAAATATGGCCAATTTAAAAACAAAACACCAAAATAAGGGTTTAAAACACTTGTAACAATCAAATCAAAACAGAAAACTACAAAAAATTGTTTTGGGTTGACTAAAATGTTTTGGTTCACTCAAATATAACTTAAAAACTGAAAAACCTATTTCAAATTGACCAGAAACATTTTGGTCAATTTGAAACCAAAATGTTTTGAGTTTTTTGATCTGACCAAAAAATATACAAAAAATGGTTTGAGTTCAAATCAAACCAGATTTTTCTCAGCTCTGCTCCAGACGTCCCTCTTGACCTCCATCATTTCCTGCATTTCTAGCTGCCTCTCCAACATCTGCTCTTTGATGTCTAATCTATTAATCTCTCTTCTCCATGTCTATTGGTATTTCCATTATCCTGCCCGTCTCTCAGACTTGATTTTTCTCTTTCCTTCTCCCTTCCCACTCCACCCCTAATATCTAATCTTTCACTACATCCTGTTGATTCCTTGTTAGTATCTCCAAAATCCACCCTTCTGTCTCAGTACCCACTGCTAAAATACCTTTCCCCTGCCCTGAGCAACTTTCATCTTAACTACTGTAACCCTCTCCAGTTTCATTTTACCTCTCCCTTTCCCAAAATATTTCAATAACATCAACTTATTCTCCCACTGCTTCAACCACGTCACCACCATCTGTCTTTGAATTTTTTCACTGGTTTCTTTTCTCTTACCACATTAAATTCAAGCTCTTGGTCTTCAGCAACAATCCTGGCCTTTTGAAATTCCTCCTTTTCTATAAAAATGACATTTTTCCTGCAGGGCAGGAGAATTTGTAAAAGGCAGGGACTATATAAAGCTCTACAATACATAACCGGGTCCCATTCTACATCTCTGCTCTCATTACTCTCTTCTCCCCTTCCCACTCCCTACTCAGTCTTTGCATAGGTGAAGCATTTGACATAAAAATGTGTATTACAGTAAAATAAACTGGCATAAAATGTCACCACAGGCTATCAAATGTGGACAAATTATAGTATTTTTAAGAAATATACTCACCAGTTTCAGAAGTTCTGACAGACAGTGGAAATGATGAGTGATTCCCATGGCCAAGTCTAGTGAAAGCCCTTACGGAAATGTTGTAGAGAGTGTATGGTTTCATGCCATTAAAAAAAATACTTGTAGCTGAGGTATTTTTAATAAATAAGTCATTGGCATAATTGTACAGAACTTCATAATGAGTTATGATCCCATTAGGTTGCTCTGGTGGTGACCATCTCAAGTATATTCCTGTTGCAGTTACATTTAATACCTCTACATTCTGGGGTGGGGAGCCTGGTTCTGTAATTCAGAATAAAAGGTTTTTGAATTTTTTTAACTGATCATATAATAGAAAAATGTTCCCATAAATGTATATGTTCCTAATATCTAGACATTTCTAGAGGCAGCTACAGCAATATCCAGAGCTAAAGGTGATGATATAGTCTCCCCTCCAAATCATTATCACTAAATGCTATCAGTTTTTCACCCTCACATATCTCAGAAATCCTTTTTTTCCCACCAGTAAAACTCTTGTGTAAACCTTGATCATCTTGCACTCAACTACTGCAGTCTCTTTAGACTTTCTCTCACCTCACCCACCAATCCATCAAAAATGCAGCTGCAAAAATCATCTGTCCTGCCTACCTCTCTATGTCCAACTCTTTGTCAAATCCCCTCATTGGCTTCCTCTTGCCTTTCACATCAAAGTCAAACTCCTTATCCTTGCCTTCAGAGACCTGCACACAGCTCCTGCGTATTTCTCTAGTCTCCTCTTTCTAAACATCCCAACCCTCTGCAGTCATCCCCTTTGACTTCTCCTACTTGGGCTTCTGAGCCTTCTTCCATGCAGCCTCCTGTGCCTAGAACCTCCTTCCTGAGCCAGACCACAATCCCTTCACCTTCCTCTTTTCCTTCAACTTGCTCCTTAAAACATACTTTGCCACAAACAGAAACAAGAACAGTGTTGTAAATAATGTTTTTAAACGATGAAAAATTCCAAGATGTGCATTACTAAATATAGCAACCACATGACCTACATCTCTGTAACTTTTGTTCTCCCTCCTCCAGCCAGTCCCCCTTTGTGTGTTGTCATCTCTCTTGCAATGTTGTAACTTGTGCAATGATCCTGCAGCCATATTCATGTGTGCCTGTGTGGAGTCCCACCAACTTTAGTGGGATTTCATGTGGTGTAATGCTCTGCCCTGATGGATCTAATTACAGGTTCAGGGCCATAGACATTAGGTCTAATACTTCTCTCATTTTCATCAGTTTCACAGCAGTTTAATTCCACTGGCTTCAGTGAGCTATACTGTACCACTGGAGAATAGGAAATTACCTTTAATTCCCATTTCCTGATAGTAATCTATATAGTATAAGTATATAGTTTATAGGTCCTCATCAATCCACATCTCTCTCAGAATTGAGGATATTTTGCTGTTGCTTTTAATTATCTTTCCATGCCAGAGAAATCAAGAACTGGGAGTTACTGTATATTGGAATATTCATGCTGGCAGCTGTGGGATCCAGAGTGGTCACCTATTACAACTGGAACCTCTTGAATCAGAAACTCGTAAAGAAGCATTGGAAATCTCTGTGAGACCTCCAGGACAAGAAGGTTCAAGATAAGCTTCGAGATATCTGAATATTTATATGAACTAAACCTCAAAGCCCAACACTAATAATTAGAAAAGGAAATAAGGGACAAAAGAAATGTATAAATGTGACAATATTCTTTACTGTCACCATTTTTCTGCTGCTCGGGAAATAAAACATAATAGTGTTTATTATATCTTATTAAGTTTTATATGTTGCATATATTAGTAGTAACAACGTGTGCAGTTCTTCAATGGAAAATATGTTTATATCTACTGCTGATTTTGTGCCTTAGTGCAGGCTCACTTATGCCCACTTATATACAGCGCCTTGTGACTACATCGTGGTCATCAGCTAGAGGTCCAGACACTGCAAGCAAATGTAGCCACTAAGTTACCCCATAGCTAGACTTGCTTTCTGTGTGACCTTCACACCACAGCACACAAGATTTACAGAGAGATCTTCATGGTCATCAATCACCAGCTGTATTAGGTAAACTAAATGGAAGTTAGTCACAGCGTATTTCTTTCCCTTTTCAGAGCTGTGTTTCTGAGTCAGTTCCCATGCTTCCCCTTTAACAATTATTGTGTCTCCTAGCCAGTGACTAGATTCTTTCAGAATCATATGGTGGAGTCCATCGCATACCAGGATGGCAGGACTCACTGGACTGACAACACTGACTTCATGAATTACATCGGGATGAATTTGATCGACTGTGTTTGTATGCTCAGTACCACCAATCCTACCGCTTAGGGCAGTGGTTCTCAAACTTTTGTACTGGTGATCCCTTTCACATAGCAAGCCTCTGAGTGCGACCCCCCTAATAAATTAAAAACACTTGTTTATCTATTTAACACCATTATAAATGCTGGAGGCAAAGCAGGGTTTGGGGGTGAAGGCTGACAGCTCATGACCCCCCCAGGTAATATCCTCACGACCCCCTGAGGGGTCTTGACCCCCAGTTTGAGAACCCCTGTCTTAGGGTATGTCTTCACTGCAACTGAAAACTTGCACTGGCCTGTGCCAGCTGACTCGGGCTCATGGGGCTTGGGCTGTTTAACTGCGGTGTAGATGTTTGGGCTCAGGCTAGGGCCCAGACTCTAGGACCCTGCGAGGTGGGAGGGTCCCAGAGTTTGTGCTGCAGTCCAAGCCTGAACATCTACTCTGCAATCAGACAGCCCCTTAGTCTGAACCCCAGAAGCCTGAATCAGCTGGCCCAGACCAGCCAAGGGTCTCTAATTGCAGTGTAGACATATCCATAGTGGCCAAATTGTGGCTGGCCCTCTCGTAAGACCAAACCTATCTATGTTCGTTGTGTTCTTGGTGTAGGGGTCAGTGACAGCTTCTGCTAGTGTCCCCTAGGATTCCATCTACCCAGGCATTTACCCAATACTCCTCATTGTGGTATATGAGTGCCTAAAGAAAGCCATCTCACAGGAGTGGAGGAGTAAGCAGATCTATGGCCCTGATCCTCTTCATATCAACCAGTGGATCTGACTGTCCCTGAGGTGAGGAGACTGTACTCCTAAGGGGCTGTACACAGGGTGTACGCTCCCTGCACATCAGGAAGTTCCAAAATACTTTTTACCTCAGGGAGGCTCAGAATGCCTCCCTGTGATCCCTCTGGAGTGGTACAGCTCTGCGCTACCTCAACGCTGGGGCTAAAAGGCACAAAGGGTTCAATACAGCTCTAATCTGATCAGTGTGATTGATGGCTCTGTCTATTAGGCTACATCTACACGTGGAGCTAGGGGTGGGATTCCCAGCTTGAGTAGATATACTCACGCAAGCTAGCAGTAGCACGAGCAGTGGCAGCACAAACTCACTAGTACAAACCCACCCAGACCCCATGAGTATGTACTCCAGGCTGCTATCCTGTGCTGCCCCTGGGCTGCCCATGCCACCATGACTACACTAATATTTTTAATGTGCTAGCTCAATGAGAGCTAGTCTGAGTATGTTTATTTGAGCTGGGTATCACACCCCTATCTCCAAGTGTAGACATATCCTTGGTGTATTTTTAAAAGAACAGCTCTTTTACTGTTGCTGGTAAAAATCCAAATTCATTTTATGTTCACCATTATTGTGAAGCACTCTTGAGATGTGGCCACACAAAATTACTATTCCAGTTTCCAGATGGAATTAAATAGGTAAGATTGATACTGAGCCATATCTTACTCACTTAAGGTAAAACCCACAGGAGTGAGAGTAAATGTGTGTGAGAAAGGGCCTAGGAAATGTCACAGTTTTCCCTATCCTATGTTTCCAACCAAGGTTCCCCTCAGGGGAGATCAGATTGCAGAGGGATAGGATCCAAATCCTATGCCTCTCCGGGATCTGTGTGGAAAAGAAAGACAAACTACATGGTGTGCTGGCCCATCCATGCTACCACTTGGCCTCCCTTCCCCTCTGGCAGCAGGACTCCCTAAGGAACTAGGCTACTATTGACTCCCGTGTCCATACAATCTACCCATTTCTCAAGGGGGTGCCAATCCAGAGAAGAAGTTAATACTTCTAGGAACCGCAGTAACTCTTGTGTGGGCAGGGTTTTGAGAGGAGCATGCTGTGGAGAGAGGGGCTGTGCTCAGGTACCACCTAGAGCTACAAAATCTTGACCTGATATATAACAGTGCAAGTGGTTCCTGCAACATTATATCTTATGCTAAAATTACCGATCAATTTCAATGGATAAAGAAGCTCCACTTGTAGACAGCACATTCATCCAGGTTCCATGATCTGAGGTGGTTTTCAAATTGTTTCTGGGTGAAATTTACAATGCCGGTTTTAAGATAAAAAGCTTTTAATGGTTTAGGTTCTGGATGCCTCAGAAGCCACCTATCTTCCACATCATGATCAGAAGTTGTGGATCTTCCAAGCTAATAACCCCTGGGTTAATTAGAAAGGAGCTGGAGACAGGGCATTTTCAGTGAAGGTTCTGGAGCTGCTTCCCTGTTGGTGCACCAGAACCCAAATTTGCTGACCTTCGGGTACTGCTGAAGTTTATTTCTTTCCTCCCAGGCCTGCAAAACTGGCCGAGGGAAGCAACACTGAGTGGTGGGAGAGTCCTAGTTTGAGTGGTTTTGAGAAGATTCCAAATTTTGGAAATAGATCTCAATGTGTATGTTTTATCATTTGTTTGTGCACGCACACAGTGCATGCACATCACTGCAAACAAGAGACTTACCATCTTCAGGTGTTCTCACAAAAATATCGTTCTCTTCAGACAGAGCACTTTCTCCCACTGTGGTGGAAGCTGCTACTCTCATTTTATAATTTGTATACTTTTTCAGACCTAGGAAGAGCAAGAAAAAAAATCCTAGCCTGTGATTCTTCTTCAACATCCTCTTTTCCTTTTAGTTCACATATTAAGTATAAAAATGGGCAATGTTCAAATAGTTTTCATAGCTATATAAGAATTTATGTAACTTAAAAAACAACTAATAGCCAATAGAGCCACAATGAGATATTCTAAAACCCACTATCTAAAATAAAATTTATGTTTGGGGCTTCAACTAATCACTCCCATTGACTTCAACAGAAATTGATTAGCTCAGTCTCTGTACATAGCTTTAACAATTTATCCATTAGGAATCCAGTGTGTGTGTGAGCATCTATATATATTTTAGTACTTTGGTTAGTACAAACAGGTGTCTGAAAACCCACAATGGGATGCCTTTTCTTCAATTAATATATAAAAAGGTATTTTTTTAAAGTAGAAAAAGATGATAAATTTCTAACACATACTGTGTAAAAAGGTGAAAGTCGTAAAAAGAACTAGCAGCACAGAAACACTGAGCCAAACTAACCCCCTCCTTTGTGAAAAGCCAAGGAGGGGATGTTCTATGAGAAAATTCCCATTAGAAATCCCTTGCAAAAATTACTAACTACCATCCCGAACAGCCAGGATAGTGGGTTTTGCCCTCTATATAAAAGCCACTCCCCAAAATTGGCAGAGTCCTCTGGATCCCCAAGAAGCTTGGGCCATTGATGCAGGGGCCCTCTCTGCCCCTGCACCAGCTCTGGCCCCCATCCTCCTCCTCAGTTTATAGGCAGAGCAAGTCCATTGGAGCCATATTGCCAGGGAGCTCTCTAGCCATGCCAGCCCCTGGACCTAGCGTTTATTACCTTTCTCAGGTAACTTCCATGGACCCAGAGGTGGGTACAATAGGTCTTCTCCCCCAGCCTGCCCACTCCTCTCCTCCAGCCTCATTGTCCCTTCCCCACCTTCTGCAAGGGGAGAGGGGACAGTGTTGCAGAAATGCTTCCCTTCCACATGAATATTGGGGAGGAATGATCTGGACTACCTACATTTCTAAATAGTCAGTTTGATAAATTTTGTATAACACAGTTGCAACTATTTTTATGAATCAGAGAAATGTAAGGCTGGAAGGGATCTCAACTGGTCATCTAGTCCACCCCCTCATGCTAAAGCTATCCCATACCTGTTATAAGGAAGCTATTGTTCGCAGTCGTCATGTGAAATGCTCTCTTTGTGTCCAGTTCCATTGCATAAATTGTATAATGAGTGATTTTTCCATTAGGATTTGCTGGAGGATCCCAATACAGCAAAATAGATGATGAGCTAATATTTTTATAATAAATATTTTGCACTGAGCTTGGAACTTAAGAAAAAAAACCAAAAGAGTTAACGTGAGTGAAGGAAAGATTAAATCATGGCAAAAACTGGGGTGAAAGGAGGAATCCCTTACATGAAATTATTTCAAAGTTATGCAATGTTACCTTGTTCACGTGTGCTAACGGTGAGAACAGCTGGAGGCCCTTCTCCAATAATGGTAAAAGCAGATACACTGATTGTATATTCTGTGAAAGGTATAAGTCCTTTTACTGTATATGACAGCTGTTCAGATGAAATGATGACATACTGGTTATCTGTGGTTAAAAGGAAAAAAACTTTGTTATCCATTTGTAAAATTAAATTATTTTTCCAAAGTCTAAGCTGAAGCTGTAATATTTTTGCACACACATTTTATTGTAGGCATTTCCACCTCACTTTCATGGCAATTAGAATATATAAATAATAGGCTACATCATGGCCTATAACTTACACATGGAGGGGACACTCTGTGCATGGATCTCCCCATGTTTTCACATCCGTCCCTACTCCCTAGACCCTGTAGAGGCCTCTCCACACAGTCCAAAGTGCAGGCTTTGGGATTGGGTGGATACTCAGTGGACTAAGCTAAACAGTCAGCAGGATAACTGAGGACAGGGAATGCAGATTGTCTCCCCTATAGTCTGTGGATCTTGGGGTCTGTGGCCCCAAGGAGTTTGGGAAGGGGGCAGGGGGAAATGCTGATATGGAAGTAAAAGGCCTCTGTGTAGATGGCCCCAGCCTCCCAGGACCCACAGGAATCTACTAAACTAGAGAGTGGGCCTTGCTTTCTTTTCCACAGAGAGTGAGGAATTTCCTCTTCCTTCTCCCCAGCTAAATGATGTGATCAATCTCAAGAGCATCTACTCCTGGGTCTTCTTAAGGAGATCCCTTCATGTGGGTGTTTTGGTAGGAGGGAATGAGCAGGGCCAATACTATAAAACAGTGTTTCCCAAACTTGGGACGCCGCTTGTGTAGGGAAAGCCCCTTGCGGGCCAGGCCGGTTTGTTTACCTGCCCCATCCAGAGGTCCGGCCGATTGCGGCTCCCACTGGGGGCTGCGGGAAGCGGCGTGGGCCGAGGGATGTGCTGACCACCACTTCCAGCAGCTCCCATTGGCCTGGAGCAGCGAACCGGAGCCAGTGGGAGCTGCGATCGGCCGAACCGGCGGATGGGGCAGGTAAACAAACCAGCCTGGTCCGCCAGGGGCTTTCCCTACACAAGCGGCGTCCCAAGTTTGGGAAACACTGCTATAAAACAAAGCTGAAAGGCCAGGGTTGAATCAGGAGACTATTCAGGATATCAGGGGTATAGGCTAAACTCAGTAGCCAGCTTAGTCAAAATCAGTGCCCCATAGAGGTGTCATTACACTACAGCATTCTGAACATGCACATGAAGGGGTGGAGACAGCCTATCTGAAAATTAGGCCAAGGGTTCTTGAGTTTAGTATCCAAAAATGGAAGCATCCAAAAATCAGTGGCCACTTTTGAAAACCTGTCTGCAGCTAACTGATAAATATTTTCAAGATAAAATAAATTACTTATATTTGAATACTGTATTACACCAGATGCAGACCTGAAGAAGGGCTCTATGTAAGCTTGAAAGCTTGTCTCTCTTGCCAACAGATGTTGGTCCAATAAAAGATATTACCTCATCCACCTTGTCTCTCTCATATCCTGTGACAACACTGCTAAAAAACACTGCAAACCAGATGCAGGGACTTCAATGGAACATAAATAAAATCAGAATTTGGCCCTCTGTCTGCTGTTTAAAGCTCTCATTGTAAAAATTTGGAGAGGTATTTTAAGCCTGTATCTGTCAACTAAGTCTTGTTTAAGGGGTCATAAATATCCATACTTAGTAAAGAAACAATGTTCCATTGATAACGCAGAACAAGTGTATACACTAATGACATCACCATGACATGGGGGGTCATCTCCACCTGTTTGCCACCCCATAGAGCAGAGTTGTAACTTTTTGACCTATTTACCTTCAGTGACATTTGAAAAGCTATTAGTCAAAAGGCTCATGGAAATCAAGGTCTGTAAAGGGCTTGGAGATATGTTAATCCCCTGCAATCACACCTGCTTTGGCAACTGTAATAACTGATTGTCTATGCAGCTTGGCTGATGGCTCTAGTGTGCTACTTTCACTAGGAAGAAGGTCAGCTGGGTGATAAGGGGCTAGTTCCTGCCTGTGTGGCATTCACAGTTGCTTCAGAAGGTTATTTGGTAGCAAAAAATGTGACTCCAGAAAATGACCCATTAATAATTTGGTTGAACTCTGTGCTAAAGATCATATTTGTGACAGTGACAGGGACCTTTTGAACAATGAGGTAGGTATAAAAATATCTTAGAATTTTACCAGAAACTGAATGTAGTTCTGCTGCTCCATTTATGGTGGGCAAGTTATCACTAGATAGACTAGTAAATGTTACTGAAGAAACTGTTTGTATCATGGGAAACATCTCAGCTGAGCCTTCATATAATCCAGTGGCTGTTTCTACTGTATCCCAAGTGAAAGTAGATTGGATATTTTCATTTAACATGTCTGGACCCACAGAATCCATCGAATGCTAAAGATTAAAAATACAACAACAAATAAATCACAAACCAAATATGACACTCACAGTTAACTCATTTTTCTCATATATATATACACACACACACACATAAACATACGTATATAATAGTATGTATATATACTAGAGAGATTAGATGAATATACATTATAGGTGGAGCTGGTATCAACAATTACAATTAAGGTTGCCTGACACTTCCTGTTATAAAACCTTATTTTCAATTGCTTATAACTCTGATAAACTTTAACTATTTGAGCTGCAATCTTCAATGCTGGGTATCTGACTCAGGCTGATTTTGTTTTTTTAAGTTTCAGCTAAAACTGTTTAATACCTTCTGGAAACAGGATTAAAGAAAAACATGTTGTTTTGCTCATGTTAACAACATTCTTACAACCATTTCATTAAGAAGTTCTAGTGTCCCCCTGCTTTGGAGCAAGTTCTCGAAACTTAGCAGGGGTGTTACTTTGAATGTGCCTTTTGATATATCTAGGAAAATTCACCTAAGTCTGGTCAAGTGAAAAGCCTTTTAAATATCTCCCTGCTTAGTAGACTTGTTAGAGTTTGGCAGTTAAATTCTGCACAGATTTCATCTGCACTAAGAATACTCCTGCCCAGGGCTGTAGGGGGTCACTGTGGCACTAAAACTGAGAGGAGGGAGACTGTCTATTCTGCATTCTCAATGATCTGCCTGCTGGTCATGGAGAAAAAGGAGGAACAGACTGACTGGACTGCATAAGGATAAGAAATGGGGAGGAAGGAAAGTTAATTGGGTCAGTGGCACAGGATCAAATACGAAGTAATATTCAGGAGATCTAGATTCAATTCAAGGTTCTGTCACAGACTTCCCATGTGACTTTGTGCAAATCACTTAATAACAGAACTTGTTGAAAGGCCAGTAAAAAAATTGTGATTTGGGTTAAAATTTATTGAAAATTATGTGGATTTTTTTCAAAAATAAAAACAAATTCTGACCAGCTCGGTAGCTGATTGAACACCCCCAATCAATTTTTTTAAATAAAAATCTAGCTGAATATTTTTTCAAATTTTAAATTTCAGATCAAAATTTCAAATCAAAGTTTCATTAAAAAAAATCAGGAAATTGTGACCAGATCTACTTAATTTTTCTGAGCCTCAGTTTCTAATCTGTAAAATGGGACTAATAAAACTTTCTAAATCTCCCAGAGCAAGATCTCTCTCTTATTACATGTTTCTATACTGCCTAGCACAATGGGATCCCATTCTCAGCTGGAGAAGAGGACACTACCATAAATACATAAATAAATGAATAATAAGACTAATAATAATGCCAACTAATTATCTGAGTTACATGTTTATTTTGAAAAATATCCTTTTTCTTGAAAATCAGTATTCCTAAACATTAAAAAAATGATTTAAGAATCACTATTAAAAGGAAATATTATTGAAAAGTACCCTTTTCTGTGACAAATCATAAAAAAGCCTTTGTTTAGACCAATATCAGTAAACACAGAGAATCAGATTCTGCCACTCTTGCTCATGTTCAGTTATACCTTACTGTGTGAAAAGGTCCATTCATTTCAGAGTAGGGCAGGATTCAACTTGAGTACAGATGGAAGAATCTAGACCAGCAGAAGTTAAGAAACTGGCTAATAGGGATACAGATATTTTTCCAAATTAACATGGAAAAATCCACGTAATATTTACTGGTACCAGATACATTGTGGCAAAAATGCCTTTAAATCTTTATTGGCAAAAAGGCAGTCTCTGTCTCCTATGCTTTGCTACATTTGCTCAACTATAAAGTCAAAACCATTTTAGTGACACATGCGTGGAAGCTTTCAAGCACTAAAAATCCAAGGTACCAGGTCTCAGAGCCTGGATCAATTGACTCGGGCTGGCAGGGTTTGGGCTGTGGGGCTAAAAATTGCAGTGTAGACATTCAAGCGTGGGCTGGAGCTTGAGCTCCCCCCTCACATGGTTTCAGACCCTGGGCTCTAGCCCAAGCCAAATTGCAATTTTTAGATCTGGAGCCCAAGCCCCATGAGGCCGAGTCAACTGACCCAAGCCAGCGAGGGCCATGCCATGGGCCTTTTATTGCAGTGTGGATATACTCTAAGTGAGGTGAAACTAGAAACTTTAACTCTCAATTAAAAATAGAACAGGAAATAAGGGACAGCGTGAAAGGACTGTAAATTAATCAATAGTAACTAATTTTGTAATTTAAAATAAAGCCACACCAACTATCACATGAGCAAGGTAACCAAAACTGAATAGCCAAATAAAAACCGAAATACCTTAACTTTCCCTGTGAGAATTGTGTTTTCCACAGTCACTCCTGTGTCCTGAGCTAACACTTTAACCCTATATTGAGTAATGATTCCATTTGGTTGTTCTGGTTTCCTCCAAGCAATTCTTATGAGAGTGGCTTCTACTTCTGCTAGTTGTAAATCAGATACAGCACTTGGAACTAAAACAAACAAAAAATCCTTAAATTAAATGTTGTTATCGCCAATACTGAATTTAATTGAACACTGCCAATTGATTTCTAAATGTTACTGTCAACTTTTTCAGCACACTGAACAAAGGCAATCTAAGCATCTATTCAGATTTTAACTGTTTATGAACTGAGTTGTTCCAGTGCAATCAACAAGTTACTTCAAGAAAATTGTATCCCACAGATTAAATCATAATTTAAAAACATACAGATAGTTATATGATATGCAGTATCTTAATAGGACTGTATGAACAAGGCCAGATCCTCATCTGGTGTAAATCAGTATATCTCAATTCCAATTGAAGTCATTTGCACTGGAAGTCAATGGATCTATGCTGATCTACATCAGTTTGAACAAACTTATACAAACTTAGGCGTAAATAAATTAAACATATATACATGCATGAAATGAAAAAGTATTTGGAAAATTATAACTGAGGATGGTCCCATTTTGTGTATCACATTTTTATGAGTTTTATTTCCATTTAGCCTTTTAGTATTAATAATGATCTTACAGTGTACGTATATATCATTTAATCCTTTCCCTGCCATTGCAGGTGCCTTGGGCACTGGGGTACCTCAGTCCCTCGTATTCTCTGCCGGTGACACATAACAGTCTAGTCTCCCTATCTACTTCAGTCTAATTTCGGTTGTTGGGTTTAGTGTGTGGATGCTGAGTCGTGTGGGTGGCCTGTGATATACAGGAGGTCAGACTAGATGCTCTGGTTGTCCCTTCTGGCCTTAAACTCTAGAACTTTTTGACTCTTTACATGCAAAATAATGAACATCACACATCAGTGTCTTAACATTCCACAGAATGGTTCTCATAGAATTTGAGGCACAAAATCATTCAACCTAAAGTAATATAGATAAAAGGACTGCTAATCCTGATTCACATGAGTAGTCCTTTAACTACAAATGGGACTACTCACATGAGCGATGGTTTGTAGGTTTAGGATCAAAATTATCAATCTGTTATATTATGACACACTTGAGAATATTTGTGTTGCCTAGCACAAATATGAATACAAAAATAAAACAGTGTTCAAATTGGAGGGGTATAACACTCACTTCTCACCTCTTCTTGCTGAAAAGAAGTTAGAATAACCCATTGCTTTTCAACCAAAATTTGAATATTGGAATACTATCATCACCTGCTAGTTTTCCCAGAAGCAACTAAGTAAAATAAATCTAACAAATAAATAAAATAAAAGAATATGAGTCAGAGCGGGAGTGCAGTTCAGGAGGAAAACACTGGTCTGGAAGTCAGGAAATCTGAATTCTATTCCAGACACTGCCACTGACCTGCTATATGAACGTGGGCAAGTCATTTCACTTCTTCTTACTGTTTCCCCTCCTACCCTTTGGCCTGGTCTACACTAACCCCCCCCACTTCGGACTAAGGTACGCAAATTCAGCTACGTTAATAAAGTAGCTGAATTCGAAGTACCTTAGTCCGAACTTACCGCAGTCCAGACGCGGCAGGAAGGCTCCCCCGTCGATGCTGCGTACTCCGCTCGCCGAGCTGGAGTACCAGCGTCGACGGCGAGCACTTCCGGGATCGATCCGGGATTGATTTATCGCGTCTTAACCAGACGCGATAAATCGAACTCAGAACATCGATTGCTTACATCCGGACCCGGATGTAAGTGTAGACGTACCCTTTGTCTGTCTTGTGTATTTAGGTCCTGAAGCTAGTAGTCACATTGAAATCAATGGGACTCCTTATAGTATACAAAGCTAAGCACGAAGCAAGTGGGTTGGAATCTAAGACTGAAAGCTCTTTGGGACAGGGATTATCTATTACTACCGGTATGTGTTTGTACAGCACCTAGCACAATAGAGACCTGATCAATGCTAGGGCCTGTAGGCAGTGGTGAGCTGGAGCTGGTTCGCACCGGTTCGCGGGAACCGGTTGTTAAATTTAGCAGCCCTTTTAGAACCGGTTGTCCCGCAGGACACCTGGTTCTAAAAGGGCTTTTAAATTTAACAACCGGTAAACCTCCGGCAGCTCCCCACCCCGCCCCGCCCCCGGCCCCAACTCACCTCCGCTCTGCCTCCACCTCCTCCCCTGAACGCTCCGCCCTGCTTATCTTCCCCTCCCCGCTTCCCGGGAATCAGCTGTTCACGCGGGAAGCCTGGGAGGGCTGAAAAGCAAGCGCAGCCCGGCTCCAGGCACTGCGAGGCGGCGGCCCGGCCCGGCTCCAGCTGCGTGGCACGGCACGGCTCCAGGCGCTGCAAGACGGCGGCACGGCACGGCTCCAGCCGCGCGGCACGGCCAGTCACCTCCAGGCAGCACGGTAAGGGGGCAGGGAGGGGGTGTTGGATAGAGGGCAGGAGAGTTCGCGGGAGTGGAGAGGGGTCGGGGTGGTCAGAGGGCAGGGAACAGGGGGATTGAATGGGGGCAAGGGTCCTGGGGGGGCAGTCAGGAAGGAGCAGGGGTTGGATGGGGCGGTGGGAGGCAGTAAGGGGCAGGGGTTCCAGGGGCAGTCAGGGGACAGAGAGAAGGGGTGGTTGGATGGGGCAGGGGTACCGGGGGGCCATCAGGAATGAGAGGAGGGGTTGGATGGGGTGTTGGGGGGCAGTCAGGGGACAGGGAAGGGGGGTGGGGCATCAAGGGATGCGGGAGGATGGATGGGGCAGGAGTCCCAGGGGGCAGGCCACCACCCCCTCGTGGGGTGAGAAGGGAACCGGTTGTTAAGATTTTGGCAGCTCATCACTGCCTGTAGCACTACTTTCCAGCAAATGTCTCAAACTTCAATAAAAGTTTGAAAGAACTGAGACTCATGGAGGTAATGACACAGAATCAGGATCAACTACTCCATTAGTCAATGAGGAACAGTGACCAGACCAGAGGACAGAGAACATGGTATCAAACCTTGTAATAAGTATGAACCGCATCTTAATAGAGAAATTGTGATATGAGCTATCTCTCCTCCCATTCACAGTCACATAACATTACTGTGGCATCTACAGCAATTTCTTACTGGAAATTATTCATGATTTTTAACTGTGTTTAGTGTGATAAAGATTTTGTCCTTTTTGAATAAAAAAACCTTAATTCAACTGTCTACCTTTACTTTACATTTTCCTTCCCTCCCCCTCCCCCCCCTCCTCCTCCTCCTCGGCACATGCAACCTGTTCTGATTCTCTCCACTGGTAATGAAAGGGAGAATCAGCAACATGTAACTATACAAAACTCCGCAGAACACAAGAAAGAGTTTTGTGGCTCTCTAGTAATTCACAGGCCACAGTTTGGGTAATCTAGACTAACTAACCCACTAAAGGACTCATCCAATCCATATCATTTTATAACTGAGAAAGGAAGCTAGAATTGGATTTTGAAGAGGAACACTAATCACAGGAGGCAGATCTGAAAGTGTCAGAGCATCATGAAAATTGGTGTTGCCACTGAAGGCAGTATTTAAGGGAAGGAATTCACAAATCTGTTTTGTTTTAACTAGGAACAAAACTTGCACAGGTTTGAACAGAGAAAAATGGGCAGGAGGGGACACAGGGAAAGGGAAAGATGGAGGATGGAAAAGGAAGGTGATGGGGGAAGAATGCACATGTGCCTTTTCACACCTGCTGAGTTTGGCTAGATGTCTCCTGTACTTATCATGAGCAGCATTTCATCTGTTCTATTTTCAAACCTATTCTATACTGAGATATTTCACTATAATAAATATAAACGTATTCTTGGGGTTTTCTTTAAAACACATATGCTTTTATGTTTTAACTAAAGGGTATTAATCACCTCCTTACAAAGAAACAATTAATTTTGTTGAAAGTAGTGCAATTATGATACATATAGATCACATTCTTCTTTTTCAAGGTTAGCACAAGCTACTCACAAAACAGTATTTTTTTAAAAGAGTTCTATATGAAAAATATCACTATAAAGATAATTAACTGTACATGTGGAGTGACATTTGATGTAATTACAGAAATATGCTCTTACCCTACTATTTGCTGCCATCTACTGGCCAAATAATGGAGTTGTTCCTTTAACTGAATTACCCAGCCCAGAAGTAATGTCTTTTTTTTTTTTTCATTCAAAAACATATTAGTCCCATAATCTTTGAAGGCTTCTGAACTCAAATAAATGTGGTCACAGTGTGTTTTTAATATTTTATGTGCTTGCTAAACATACAAAACTTTTCTGTGTATTCCCTTTCTTTGATTTGTGATTTCTTGCTTATAATACATCTGGAAGAGGAAGTGAACTAGAAACACATCTATTTTTCATACACAATTTACACAAATGGCTTTGAAGGGAGAATTAAAACCAATCATCATATGTAGCAGGACAATTAGCTTTGTCTATTTTATTTCTATAACCCTACCTACCTTCTGGAGGAGTGAAAACTGTTAAATTAGATTTAGGCCCCATCCCGGCACTTGTCTCAGCAGCAACATACACATCATAGGTTGCAAATGGTGTTAGATTACTAAATGTGAACTTGAGATCTTTTGTGCTGTTATCTAGAATATAACCTAGAGTGAAATGGGAAAACAGTTTCAGTTTAATACAAACAGTATTGAACATTTCTTCATTTTGAATATAGTTATTTTCCATGACAACGAAAGACAAAAGACAAAACCAATAATGAAGTTATTAACAATAATGAAATTACCATCCGTTTATGATAACTATGACTTATTACAAGTAATATTGCATGCTCCTGGTAAAATACTTATATATCATTGCAATACGAACAGACCCTATTAACCAGTCTGAATGGAAAATTTCTTTCCTTTTAATTTCTCTTCTACAATTAATCTCTCCAACAATCTTCACTGGGGGGGGGCTCTAAAAATTAGTCTTAAATTATAATTATGTCAAATTAATTATCTCCTAATATAACTATATACACCACTGTAGCGAGGGTTTGTGGCCTCCCTCTGAGACTGATGGGAAGAAGCCACGAACCACCCTCTGGTAGGCAGAACCACGCAAGCTATGTTCCCCGCTGGAAGCAGAGGGGTGGGACTGGGAGTTTAAAAGGCAGGCCCTGGAGCTCAGTTGTGCGCGAGCTGGAGAAGGAAGCAGACATTTCTTCCCCCACGATAGAGCTCTACAGCACCGAGGGCCCAAAGGAGGTGTCGGAACTACAGACTGACCAGTACCTGGAGGAGCTACTGGGACTGCCACTGGCCGTGTACTCCAAGATGGAGAAACCCCAGGAGATGGAGGTATACCAGGAGGGGTAGTAGTAAGTAGCCCAAGGACACCAGACATTAGTCCGGTTGTGTTGCCAGAGTCCAGGTCAGCGTGTTTCAGTGGGATTCCCACTGACCCAGTGGTGGAGTCCTCCACCGCTGTCAGGGCCCTGGGCTGGGACCTGGTGAAGTAGTGTGGGCCTGGGTCCCCCTACTCCCTGCTGCTGATGCCACCTCTGGGTTGGCAGCCTGCCCACCTTAGGCCAAAGGGCCTGTGTTTGCTTGCTGTCTGCCCTAGCCAGGATTCTTTGGGCTATTGACCACTTACGGCTCTGCCCTGCCCTGAGGGCCAGAGCCCCTTTGACCACTTATTGCTCTGTTCTGCCCAGGGGGATAGAGCCCTGAGACTGCTAATTCCCTATTGAGCTTTGCATTTACAGACATACTGTCATGAGGGGGTGTGGCCTCCCTCCAAGACTGATGGGAGGGACGGCCATGAACCCCTATAACCACCCACGACTAAGCTAAAAAAATCAACAAAAATATAAAACCAGGTTCACATTATAGATTATAATTATAGATATGTGTATATTCTGCCTCATCATCTCTCCAGATATCCTCATTGTGGAGCAATAAAAGAACAGTGAAGGAAGAATATAGAAATATTTGAATATAACAGCTGATTCTATAAGGGTAATAAACTTTAAAGAAAACTTGACTGATTATATAGGTATCACAGACTGGAGAACCCTTTCTTCAAGTCAAGTACAGCTCACACAGACCTCTCTTTTCTTCTGGTCTGTTAAGAATTTGGAATATTACGCTAAGAATTGCTCTAGACTTGGAACTGGTTCTATGGATCCCAGGTTCTGTTACACAAATAACACTGATAAATATCAAAAAGTTCAAGTGGGAAGACCATTTCTAAGGGGCACTTTTGGAGCTGTCTGATTCTCTCATAACAGATGCTGGGAGCTCTCCATTCTCTGGTGAGAAATTGTGGCTCAAATACTAAATTAAAATAGTATTTTAAAAGGCAATAATCCAATTCCCTTGTGTTACTGAAGAGTTTCCTTCTAAAATAAAGATAAAATAATATTGTTTCTTAAATAATGTATGTTTGTGCAATATGTATTCAGGTGTCTTAGTTGATTTCCCCACTCACTACAGATACTAGACCATATTTAAAATGGTTCATTAAATCACCAAACTTTTGGATTATCACTATCTACCCATCTCTGATAATTCTAATTGCCTTTAATATCAAAGTCCAAAAGTCCAGAATGATATTGAGGACATGTGACAGCTGTAGATGGAAAAGGATAACACAATACAAAATACTTTGAATGTCATGCTCATATGACCGTAATTCCTTTCATTCCGACTTGTGCAATACTATTGATGCCCTGATTAAGAATATATGACATGTGAGGAAAATGGGTCTTAGTTATCAGGACAACGAAAATTGGTTTCCAATACTTTTGTAGTAGACAGGCATTTCACAATCAAGCAACTTCATCAAATGTTATTGGAAATCATTAGGCATGAAAACCGTCATTTCTGACATTAAGATGTTGACTAGTACTATATATCTTTTTAAACAGAGAGCTAAATCTTCACTTTACGATCTGCCCAGTGTAAGGCACATGTTAGTGTACTGCCCCTAAAGCTGCTCAGGAGGGAGATTGTAGCTAGGGTGAGCAGATGTCCAAATTTTATAGGCCCAAATTTTGGGGCTTTTTCTTATATAGGTGTTTATTACCTCCTTGCCCCCTGTTCCAATTTTTCACATTTGCTATCTGGTCACCCTAATTGTAACTCTGTCACAATATGCCTCCTGGTCTCTCTCCTGCTCCCAGAGCCGGCTCCAGGCACCAGCGGAGGAAGCACATGCCTGGGGCGGCACATGCTAAGGGGCGGCATTCTGTCCATTATTGGGGTGGCACAGTACAGGTGGCTTTTTTTTGGCGCTTCGGCAGTTCGGGCAGGTTTTTTTTTTTTTGCTTGGGGCGGCAAAAATGGCCAGTACATTAGAGGCACATGGCAAAACTCCATCTAGTCCCCTTCTTTTCCTAGCTCTCCCACCCTTCAGTGTCAGGCAAGACCTAATGCTAGCATAGCCTGTGCAAGGGAGAGGGGGACCTAGATCCCATAATTCCCCATGTGCAGCCAAGAAGGCCAGACCAATATTTGGGCCTATGTGATAAATACCTTCCCAGCCCACACCTACAGAAATCTGAAGCCTAACTGTGAATTTCAGGCACAGAGACTGTTATATATAGCTTTGTTTATTTCAGTTCAATGGGGATAAAGTACAAGCTGAGTAATTGCATCAGTTTTGACATTCAGCATGGGTATATGCAGACTGGCCTCTATGGGTCTCACTAGAAGGCCCTTATTTGCCAAATCCTATTTTTAAAATTTCAGATAATTTCTTAGTTACTCCAATATACTTGTTAGTAATTTTTAGTCCTGTACCTTTATCACTGATTGGAACAGAGTGAATTTTGAGTTCACTGTCTGAGGAAAAGGCACACCATGCTGCTTAACAAATATAAGAACTCTGCACTAACGCCCCCTCCCTCTCGATCTCCATCTCAGTGGTGGGACATTTGATCGAACTAGCAAGGGAAAGACCACCCATAGGGGCCTTGGAAGGGAGGGTAAGGCTCAACTGCTCTGGAACCTTCCCTACCCCTGACCAGAATACAAGTGGTGATCATGCTTGGATTGGAAGCAGGGACAAGAGAGGAGATATTTGCCTCCATGTGCTGCCCATTGGCTAGGATGTAGGGAAAGGAGAGAGCAGACTGGCTCTCATGCGCCCCCCTCACGGTATATCAATCCATCATGGGCAGGCAGCTCTGTGACAGAGTACTGGGAATCAGCACCTGAACCAGTAGCACTCTGGTCATTGTTTAACCAGTTAGGTCCCTGGGGAGGGCCCGATTAAGGAGAGAAGTTCCTGATTACCAGATCAGATTGGGGCTGGGTAACTAATGAGCTAATTAACACATTAACAAGGAGACTGGATAAAAGAGCACAGAAAGAAAGAAAGGGGATGGAGACAGGCTAGTAGGCTCTGACAAATGGGTGTTCTCTGGGAGGAGAAACCTCTTCCCCCACCCCGCTTTGGAGAAGGGGTAGTAAAGCTAGATAATGTAAATGGTATGAGTGCACTAGTACCTAAAAGGTGGTGAGTGAAATACTATAAATAAACTGCATAGTGGTATCTACAAAAAGTAAGGCCTCTGAGCAGTCTGTGTAAAGCAAAGATGATGGGAGCAGTGGCACTCAGTCACAAACAGCTACTCTGCTGTGGTTGCTGCCTCACCCTCTCTGCCCTATAACTGAGGTCTAGTTTGAAGCATGTTCTGAAGATGCTGTGTGGGTTTGATCAAGTGGCAGTTCTGGAGATTATGAATAATTTTTTCCCTGGGGCTAGAATTGACAAGGTGTCTGGTGAGTTTTTTTGTCCATTGCCAGTATCCTGGAGGCACAGTTTTAGGTTAATACAGAGTAAAGACAGGATTTAAACATGCAAATTTAATAAGTGGAGTTTGTAGTTTTGTTCCAGCTTGAGACAGGTAGCCAATGGTAGTAAGAGGCTCCAGGGAGCCAGGTCCTAGAAGTACACGTGAGTAAGAGACCTGGGAGGTGGCTTCTGGACCCTATTATCCTTGAGGAAGAAAGGCAGCCTTATTTCTTTGCAGACTTTATGTGCACCCTCATTCCCCCTCATGAGTTGGAGGACAAGAGTGATCAGAGGAGAGCTAAATACTAGAGATTAGCCTGAAGGAAACAAACCCTAAACATTGGTTATGGAGCATGGAGGTCATTTACCACTACCCTGAACCCAAATAAATGACTGGTATTTTTCAATGAGGGTGGGGGCCCCAATCACTTCATTTCACAACCCATTCAAGTTAATAATTTTAGCCTTATCCCTTAAAATCCATTCCTTTATCTGTGTTTTGTTCTCCTGCAAGTTCTGATTTAATTGACAGTGTAATATACTGCCTCTCTAAAAGAGTGAAATAGATAAGATTGTGTCTCTTCCTGTTTTCAGGTGTATCTAGCATCTATTGCTCTATGTACATATACTGAAAATGAGTATTATGATGGTGTGTCCTTCCCACCCAAGGCAGAGCAGGTTGTTAGGACAATTAGCCGGTTGGGCTGCACCACTGGGGGAGAGCCAGGGACAGAAGGGCTAACTGTTGATGAAGCAGAGCTGGGCAGAGGCAGGCTGAGCTTGTATAAAACCAGAAAGCTGAGAACACCAGGGGCTGCAGAGGAAGTAGGCTGCAGTCACTTCCTGGAAGAAGTAAGGGGGTGTTTGAGGCTACAGAGCCTGCCAAGAAGTCAAAGAGGGAAGTAGCCTACAGCTATTCCCTGAGAGGAGGAAGTTTAGGCCAATAAACCCAGGGGGTGGGCAGAGGATAGAACAGGCAGGAGCTTGGGGAAATAGCACCGGGGTCTGGGAGCAAACAGCTCATAGTTGCTGACATAGGCCTGGTCTACACTGGGGGGGGTGGAGGTCGATCTAAGTTACACAACTTCAGCTATGTGAATAACGTAGCTGAAGTTGATGTACTTAGACCTACTCACCACAGTGTCTTAACTGCGGTGAGGCGACTGCTGCCACTCCCTCGTCGACTCCACCTGCGCCTCTCGCGGCGGTGGAGTACAGGAGTTGACGGGAGAGCGCTCGGGGGTCGATTTATCACGTCTAGACTAGACGCGATAAATCGACCCCCGCTGGATCGATCGCTGCCCGCCAATCCAGCAGGTTGTGTAGACATACCCATAGAGTCCTTGGATTGGAGCCCAGAGTAGTGGGTGGGCCCAGGTTCCCCCACCAGCTGCTGGGAAAGTGGCACAGCGCCCGGCCCTGGACTGGAAGACTGTCTGGAGCAGCATGAGGATAGCTGATCCAGCGGGACTTTGGTACCCTGGAAGAGGAGGACTGTACAATGACCTGGCTGGAGGCTGAGTCATGAAGAGGGAGCACTGTGAGTCCTGGCAACCAAGGAGGGGCCACGGTGTGAGGAAAGGGGTGTCAGACTGGATGAGAGCTGATTCGCCAGACACAGCCATGAGGAGGCATCCTAGCAATGAGTGAACCCCATGACAAACATCCTTTTCACTGAGAAGTTATCAGAGAATTATTACCAAGCCTAATTTCATAAAAGGAAAGATTTGTTTTCAACTATCCATTTTTAGAATGCTAGTGATGTAGTTATTGAAAGAAAATTATCCTAACAATGATAGAGAAAATCTACGTTTGATTCAGACTTACCAGACGGTCCATATAACTCAACTCTGTAACTAAACTTTCCTGTTATTATGGTTGGTGGGTCCCAAGACACTGAGAAGGACTTTCCGGTAATGTTGCCTTTGGCAAAATTCTGGGGTGGATCTTCTGGAACTAAAACAACATTGGAAAAAATGTATACACATATAATTCATATTAGGGTTTCTCAGAAGCATCATTTAATTCATATTAAATATAAAATAAGATCAGAAAAAGACATTAAAAACATCATGTAAATTGGAAAAGTAGGATTTATATTAATATGGAATTTTCTTTCTGATTTAAATTTACTTCCTTTTAATTAAAGGGGTGGGGGGTAGTTGGTAACTTATCTTGCAAGAGAGCTACGAATGTGCAATTGAACCTGAAAAGGGAGAAGTATCAGAGACTCCATCAAGTCTAATAGGAATTTCGCAATTGCTATTGATTTTACAGTGAAAGGCACTCAGATTCTACGGTGATGGATAGTTTGATCAACAGGTATGCAGTCTCTCTCTTTTCATACTCTAGGTCTCCTAAAACTAATTTGATGACCTTCAATATTGCCCAAAGCGCCAATCCTCCAAAGACCAGCATGTGAACAACGTTATTCATGTACTGCCATAACAATATCCCAGCCATTTTGCTGTTTGTGCACAGCTCAGCAAACACCTCCATTTTTTGGAACAAACCTGAGGTAAAAATGGTATTATTCAAAGCAATGTCAATCATAGAAACAAAAAGACAACTCTCTCCTATCGAGCTAGTTGTCAAAATAAGAACAGCTGCCAATGAAAGAAAAGAGAGCTACTATCAATCCTGAGGAATTTCTTAGGTGCTACTCAGTGAAGATAACCAAGAATGATAAAGTAATCTTGCCAAGTCTAATGGTATCAGCTACACTCACACATTATTCTTAAATGTCAGGGTTACAAGGAATCAAGAGAAGCTGCAATTCTTTTCCAGGGCCAAATCGTGTCACATAACTCATAGAAGTAATATTTATTATTTGATTCCACTTGATCCCATCCCCAGTGACAAAATATGCAAGTGCTGGATTTTGCACAAGACATCTGGTAATAATATTTAATTATAATGGAGTCATGTCCAAAAATTTTAAACACATAAATGAGTAGCAAAAGAAAAAAAAAAGTAAATGGACTCTCAAACAGCATGGTAAGCAAGAAGAGCCCTGTCACTGCAAAGGATGGGGAAGGGGTTCAGCAGAGCTGGGATGATTCAACTAGGAGGGGACTTGAATGGTTTCAGCAGCTGGGAATGGGTCCAAGGCCGGGTACTTGTCATTAAGAGTCATGTGGTCACCTTTGCCTCTGGCCACAGAAGATCTTGTGGCAGCAAATTAATGTAGTTTCACAGAGCATGTCGGGCAGGATTTAGAAGAGGCATGCAGGGATGACAGAAAGAGGGGAGCACAGAGCCAGAGGATTCACAGCGCTCCAGCCTGCTGCATGGCACAGGAAGCTACTTAGGCTGCAAATTCCTCACCCTCAAACCACACTTCTCCTACCCCAGCTACTCAGCATTTGATCCTAAAAGAAAGCAGGAGAATTTGGTAGTTGACATGTAGTTTGGGTGGCATCACACGCTAAAGTGGGAGGGTCAAGGTGCTGGAGTAGGAGGTGGGGATTTCAGTAGCTTGAGGTAGGTGGCGTTAGATTGCTTGATGCTGGGGAATGTGAAAAAGTTCTGGCAACTTGGAGGGTAACCATGAGTCAGTTGTGGGGTGGGGGAGGGTTTCAATGTCTGGATGAGAAGGCCGGGCTCTTTGCAATCAATGCAAAGCAGCACTCCTAAACCAAAATCCCTTGCATTAAAAAAAATAAACTGTATATCCAGGCACTTGCATGTATAAACATTGTTTTCTAATACCCAGATTGAAGCTATAATATTGGATTTGCACTATAATCTGCATAGTTCAATACAAGCTTTAGCTTTCTCGTATTTAGAAAAAATTGAAATGTTTGTAAAAATTTCTATTAAAGCTAAATCAAACATCAGAGAAGAAAAATCATGAGGAAAAAAGTAGTTCATTTATCTATAATGTCCCCAGGGGAAACCCACAATCAGCATTCACTTCAGCCTGGAAACAAAATCCTGGCGTGCCTTACACATGCATGTAGGCCCCACAGCAGCATTTTTGGATGCATAGGAGAGTAAAACCAACAGAGACCCTATGTCCTAAGAATCCTCAACTTGTGTGCCACACTGGGCCTCTGAAGCTCAATGAGGATTAAGTAATTTGGGCTGGCCCTAGATGTGGTCAGTGGACCTGTGCACATCAGAGATCCACTAGGCCAAACTCTGCACAGGGGAGCAGAATGCCATCTGCTAGTTCCTCCTCCAGACCTTACAGTAAAAGCTTCAACCAAGTTGCACAGACATCCTGGATCAGCTGGGACTGAGGATTCTGTCCTTCCACCCCTGATATGCTTTTGCAGAGCAAAGCCCTTTACTTGAGCTTTGCTCCATTCCCAAGGATTTTCTTACGGCCAATACACCTGTCCTAGCACATTAACAGTTTGAAAACCTCAGAGGAAAAGTTGGACTAAAGCCCTGAATCAGACTGGGAACTACACAGAACTTTATTTATCCCAGTCAGAACTATATATTTAGGGTTCTTTATCTGTAACAAAACATTCAAATATAGAATCATAGAATATCAGGGTTGGAAGGGACCTCAGGAGGTCATCTAGTCCAACCCCCTGCTCAAAGCAGGACCAATCCCCAGACAGATTTTTGCCCCAGATCCCTAAATGACCCCCCAAGGATTGAACTCACAACCCTGGGTTTAGCAGGCCAATGCTCAAACCACTGAACTATAAAACCAAGTGGGATTTAGCACTCTTAGCCAAAAGCCCCCCTGCCTTAAGAACACCTGTCCCCATCCTCTCTCAATCCTATACAATATTAGGAAAGAGTCAGACCTCTTTTCATCTTCAAATTAGTATGAATTCTGACATAGGAAAGAAGAGCCCCGAATTGCCAAACAGTGCTAGATAAAAGATTGCTGCACTGTCCAACTGATGAACAGTCTTCGGCAACGGGCCAGTTAGTAGGTGTTTAGGCAATCTTGGTTTCCAACCCTGGCAACAGATCACTTGCAATGTATTGAGAGTCCTGGGATTCAATGGCTGGCTCTAGGACTGCCTTTCAAGCTGTGGATCCTGACAGGGGAACATTGGGAAAGGTGTTTCTCTCTCTTTCACACTGTTTCTCAATAGCTGCAGGGAAATATGATTGACTGGCTGCGGGAAGTTGTGGACACTCCTGAACTACAGGAGTGCAGAAGTAGTGGCAGAATTTATGTGAGAATTAAGAATTAGATTTTGAGCTTTGGGCCTGACCTGGGACATGCTGAACACCTCCTCAGAGGTGCTGAGTCTCCTCGTTGGAATCCCAGCACTCAGTGTGATGCAGATGAAAAACAGGACAAATTACCACCCAGCTCTCAGCAGTGGTGGGGAGAGAGCTTTGCCAGGGATGCTAAGCAGGGTTTGGCCCAGGTACTGATGGCTCTTTACCACTTCTTAACATGAGCTTATTTACACGTTGTATTTCATCCTGGCAACAAGCATTATAGCACATAGACCCATGTACACTACTACACTGTCCACCCTTTGAAATACTAAGTCTGCCATCTTTACCCACCTTTTCCTATTCCAAGTTCTCCTATAGCTTCATGCCATGAATTGCACTTCTGTCGTGCTTTGTGCTATCCTCAGGTTTTCACAGAATTAAGAACCTACAGTATTTCCCTTCTCCTTTAGATAATCATACTTTGCTTTACTCTATTTCCCACAGAAACTCAACTCCCATCTCCACTCTTTTCTACATTATATTGTATACAGTATGTACACATTCAATTGATCTCATCTGGTGCAACTGATTAAGCATACCAGGAATTATAAAACACAGAATGTATGTATTGAAACACAGTCTGAGATCTAGCTGAAGACAGAATCACAGTTTAAAGCATCCTGCAATATAACCTGGAATCCCTTTGGTTTATATTTTAAAATAAATCTCAGAGTTTAACATGTTGATTTTTCTCTGTAGTTAAAAGTTTTTTCTCGGAAAGCAAAACATACCTGCTTCTGGTGTCCTGACAATTGTGCTGTCAATATAACCTGCTTCAGTGGTAACAGCAGAGACTTCAAAAAGATAAGTGGTGTATGGTCTAAGATGAGTCACAACAAAACTAATAGGTTCATTCCAGACAGAGCTCATTTGACTAGGTGCTACTGTACTTGGTGTAAACATAGCCCGTGAAGGAAATGTAGATTTGCCAAAAGTAGTTGAAGGGGTGGTAGTACTCCACAAAAATGATTCACTGTTTTCCTAGAAAGATAAAATATGAACCATGAAAAGCTAAACCTATTACTTAGCCATTTTGCATCAATCACTGCTGAACTATAGGTCTTTGCAATATCATACCTCTTTATATAGCTATTAAATGTGGATTTTTAAAAATATTAACTAGTAGGATAAAAGTTACCTACAAACCCTAAGGCCAAAAATCAATGAAAGCCTTCGGCATGCATTCAAGAGAAGAATTGAACGCAAAAAGGCTGGTAACTAGAGAAAGCTCAAATAATTTGATTCTCACAACACCAAAAAAGTAATCTGAAAAAGCTAATAAAAATAAACTAAATTTAAAAACTGTCATGCCAGATCAACAATGGTAAATGTGTAGACACAAAAATTACAAACACCGCATCTTTAAAACAAAATAGTTGAAAATTAGTTTTTCTTTCACTTGTCACTATGTAAATGCAGGTTGTTATCGTCTTCCTCCTGATGGCATCATTAATAGCGCAGGGGATGCAGCTCATTCCACTCCTTCAGGCCTGATTCTATATCACAAATTAACAAATACTAACAGTATCAAATATGGCTGAATAGAACCAAAACTCTGGTGTTGATGAAACACTGCCAGATTTGGTTTCCAGTATTCAAACATTCTGTTCCATGAGTCTCCCAGTAATTGGCACAAATTAGCAATGTTCTACTATACTCTAAATCCAAATAGAGCTGATCTGGCTAGAAAAGGTTGAACCTGATCAGCAGCTATATAAGAGAATGCCAAGAAAAACCTAGATGCTGCAATAAATGGTGCTAGTGATTTAGTAGGTGGCACTCTTCCTTCTGAATTGGTATCAAACTAATTCATTTTGATGTTAGGAGGCTCTGCAGTGCTGGAAATCCTCATTCAGATAAAATATGAACCGAAGGTCCTGACAATTTGGAGTCATTATAAATGGCACTTCTCACAAGATCAAGGTATTATTCCAGCATCCTAGGCAAATTCCAACTCAGGCCATGTGGAGTCCTTGAAGTCAAAGGGACTCTACTCAGACTAGAGCTCTATTGGAAAATGGAATTTCTGATCCACCGAAAATTCTAAAATTTAGACATGTTTTCATTCCAAATCAAAACAAAAAGTTTGAAACTTTGAAATTTTTGTGTAACTGAAAATCCAAAAGATTTCAATTTGGAAATTTAGAAACATTTCAATAATGTCAAAAAATGCATTTTGACTTTATCATTTCGTTTCAACTTATATATGTATGTTTCAGTAATGATTAATCATTTTATATATATGTTGAAATGAAATAAATATTGAAATTGTTTAGATTCTCATTTTGTTTAGATAATGTTTAAAAGTTTAATTTTGACTTTATTATTTCATTTATTCTCAACATATATTTAATAATAATAATAAAGTCAAAATTAAACTTTTGAACATCTAAACAAAATGAGAATCCAAACAATTTCAATATTTTTATATCAAAGATTTCATCAGAATCAACAAGTTTCTGTGAACCATTTTAATTTGGACTAAACTGCATTTTTCACTGGAAAACTGTTCTGTCAGAAAAATTTTGACCAGCTCTAGCTCAGACATAAAGATCTGTCTGTACCCAGTACATCAGTTTGTAGAACCGAGACCTACAACCAAATTATAAAATTAGAAATGGACCTGAACCATATCCCACAGGCCCCCAGATTTTGGGGGTGTTCAAAATACAAATGTGGCACCACATTTCATCCCTTGAGTCCATCTCTAATTAAATTTTTAACACTTACATTACATTCTGGTAGCCTCCCAGATAGAATGTCCTCCACTTTAACAGAAACATCTTTCACTACAATTCCACTTCTTGCATGTTTCACACTAATCTTGAAACTGGTTATCTTTCCATTTGGTTGCTGAGGCAGAAACCAGATCAGATTTACAGCTGAATAATTTAATGCCTCAACTGTGAGATTCACCACTTTACCTGGAGCTAAGAAACAAAACAAAACCAGTAATGCATACAATTCTTTGTAGCAGTATGTGTATTTCAGAATTAACATTTCTAATCTGAAATGACTTTCAAAATTCAAATAATCCTTCTTTCTTCCTGATTCCTGCGTTATGGCTGCTTTCTCTATTTCTTGTTTCCAGGCATTAAAATCATTCATCACCACGGTATCTCAGAGGCAATTTTCAAATTTTAAAAGTTGTATTGCTCTCTCCAAGTATGGTGGTTGGTTATTTTTATTTTTAAAATATAAATTTGTACTAGTGCTCTCATAAAAAAACTTTTGTCATTGGCTATTAAGGAAGGATCGTCCCTGTTAGCAAAATATTGAATATATTTCCTCTGTCCCTCTAGGGGTACATCTACATAAAAGAGTTGGGCTTGTGGGGCTTGTGTTATGGTGCTAAAAAGAGCTGTGTGCATGTTGCAGCTTGGTCTGGAGCTCAGATTCTGAAACCCCGCCCTTCCCTAGGTTTCCGAGCCTGAGCTCCAGCCCAAACCACTATGTTGACACAAAAAGAACAGGAGTACTTGTGGCACCTTAGAGACTAACAAATTTATTAGAGCATAAGCTTTCGTGGGCTACAACCCACTTCTTCGGATGCATATAGAGTGAAACATATATTGAGGAGATATATATACACACATACAGAGAGCATGAACAGGTGGGAGTTGTCTTACCAACTCTGAGAGGCCAATTAAGTAAGAGAAAAAAAAGAATCCTGCATCCGAAGAAGTGGGTTGTAGCCCACGAAAGCTTATGCTCTAATAAATTTGTTAGTCTCTAAGGTGCCACAAGTACTCCTGTTCTTTTTGCGAATACAGACTAACACGGCTGCTACTCTGAAACCTATGTTGACACAGTTATTTTTAGTACCGTACCACAAGCCTAAGTCTGCTAATCCAGGCTCTGGGATTCGCTGCCACTCACTCTGTAGACATAACCTAAAAGATTCTTCCAGTCCAATGAATTTCAAAGGACTGAAAAGAGATACTTTCATACTGTCTCTATTTCTAGCTTTCAAATGATAAAGCTTTACACTAGGCAACAGAGTCAGTCTCCCTTTCTCAATCTCTCCTACTGGAGCTGTTCCACTTTGTATAAATAATTCAACATTCTTTGGGCCACACTGAGACTGACTCTGTTGTCCAGTGGTTAGGTCACTCACCTGAAATCTGGGACACCTGGGATCCCTCCCTACACCAATGAATAATTATTTATACAAAGTGGAACAGCTCCAACAGGAGAGCTTGACAACAGAATAACCTATTGGTTATGGCCCTTCCCCAGGATGTAGGAGAAGTGGGGTCAACTCCCTTTTCTGGATGAGGCAGAGCATAGACTTGAATTGGTTCTCCCAGCGCTCTTGTTTCTTAGGTGAGTGCCCGAAGCACAAAACCTTCCCAACAAAAGTTATATTGAAACTGCCACTTTCACAGTGGTATGAGCATTAGCCTGCTAAACACAGTGTTATAAGTTCAATCCTTGAGGGGTCCACTTAGGGATCTGGGGCAAAAACAGTACTTGGTCCTGCTAGTGAAGGTAGGGGGCTGGACTCAATGACCTTTCAAGGTCCCTTCCAGTTCTAGGAGATAGGATATCTTTATTTATTCATTCGGGTTTGACTTTGATGATCAGCATTTTCTAATTGAAAAACTGTTTTGCTGAAAAAAACAAATCCAGCAATTGCTATTGCAACTGAGATCCGGCAAGCTGATGTGTCTCTTTTGGGGGGTTTGGTAAGTGTGCATATAACCAGTCAAACAGCAAATCAGTGGTCTGAGGCAGAAAGTTTTTAAAAGTGTGATTTTGTCCCTCCTGATGAATTAGCCTTATAAAATTACTTTTAATTTAAATTTTAAAATAGATTAATCTAAACTAGTAAATTGAACCATTCTACTTCAGAGAATAATAATGAAAAATACTGATTGGGAAACCTCAACATTTTGGTAAATTAAAAACTGTTCCCTTAATATTTGAATTTATACTATATTTACTGTATTTGTTTGATTAATCATTTGCCAATACATGATAGTGTGTGACCAAGAAATTATGTTCTTTGTATCAGTAACAGTTTGATGTGTCCGTTGGGTCAGCAAATCAGTTCGCACTATAAGGAAATGGAATATAGGACCTCAAAAGGTTCAAGTTCTTGAGTGAGTCAAGTAAACATCTAGAAGTACAGAGAACTATCTGAAATGCCATACTTAAGGTTCAGACCCAGATTGCATAAACTAAAAATATTGCTATATTGTGTTGAAAAATGAGTTGATTTAAATAAATATATTCATGTTCAACATTACAGAAAATCTCCCATAACTAATAAGAGACAGGTCCTCCAAGCCTCCTGCTTAAGTGCTTTGTTGAATAGGGGCTTTATTTCTGGATTTTCTTTCTACCTCTCCATACTACTCCTTTCCAGACAATGTCTCCTGTTGTGATTATTATTCATGAATCAAAAACTTGCAACAGCAAGTCTTTAACTATTCAAACAATTTATATCCAAAATAAACTTTCATATTTTAGGTATAAAAATATAACGAGTTTATTATCCACTTGGTGGTGGCAATGATTATGTTGTTTTTTTAACTCTCAGAGCTGTGACACTTAAAAAGAGAACCAAAATTACAAACGCAGTTGCTTGATAAAAAGCTTTCTTTTCTTCATCATTTCAGCTAGAACTATACCAAGGATTTCTATTTTAAATGAATCATATGTAAGTAGAGTTTTGCAAACAATTTCTGAGAAGCAATAATGCCTTTATAGGGCAAAATGGTGTATCTTTGCCCTTTGTTAAACTTAAATACAGTATGCTCATTACAATATTATGTTTGCATACAATTATTTGCAAAAGGAAAAGTAGCAGTTTCGTACAGCTCCATTTAGAAAGTTCTCATTTATGGGGGTTTTCCTAAATGATAAATTATCTCAGAAGATTTAAAAGTTCCGTCCTTAAGAATCTGAAACCACAAAGTGCTGAGCACCTTTCACTGACTTCAGTGGGTGCTGGGGTGCTCAGCACTCAGTATGCAGAAAACTCCTGCTGAAATTAATGGGAATTCCATGCACAGGGAGTGAAATTCACCCTTTGCAAAGGACTAGCAAAAGTCGTATCACCACTTAAATTACATCTAAGCTCTCAAAATGAGCCTTGTGCTAGCTCTCGGCACAGAGATGAATTTCTACCAGAGTGTTTGTAGGATAAGGACCCCATAATATAAATTAATAACAATCATAGACTTAGAATGTTATGAAAAATCAGTAAAACGTCAGATGTTCTCAGTCAGATTCTAATTTCAGGATGCATTATAACTGAGCTTTTGGTGTCAGCATTAAGAGGCAAACACAGTAAGAAATACCGTGTATTATATTTGTTAGAAGCTGGGCTTGCTGCAAGCGGGCTATGCAAGATCCTGACTCTACTGTAGCTCTTGTGCCCCCATACTGCAGTGAGCAATAGTTGGTGGGTTTATTTAGTATCTGATCAGCTATCCCTGCCTTGATTTCCTCCAACCCATCTGCATAGAGACATGTGTGGAGCCCCTGCAGAGCTGGGATTCACAGCACATAATGAACGGGGACCGCATGCACCAGGGCACCCTAAATCCTGCCTCCGCCATGCATGGCAAAATGGCACCATTTCCACTGCACGTGAGGCCCTTTGTAGCCACAATGAAAGGATCAGGATTTGCTCCTAAATGTATCAGAATTTTTTATTCTATTACTTTAAAAGAAAAATTCAGCGACGATTTATAAGAATAAATTGGACTGATGGAAGCTCTACTGAAATTACCACTTTCTGCAGTTTGAAAGAGAAAAGGATCACTAAATACTCCAATGCCAGCACTGTTCTCAGCAGCAACCTACAATAAACCGAAACAGTCACATTAGAGAATTCACATAATATATGTGCCAATAGTCATGCATATATATGGTATAAGCTGTACATATTGAATTACAATTATACAAATGAATTTTCCTTTTTTCAGCTGCAGTTGTTTAATTTACACTAAACTTTTAATGGATAAATATTAAATACAATAATTCTCAACCAATGACATTCACTCAAAAAAGGCTCTTTACACGTTCATGTACATTTTCTCTTTAGAAGCATATGGATCTCCCAGCAATTCTCATGCAACAGCATGGACTCACCATCTGAATGGCTGACAAGACTGCAACTTTATTATAACAAATATGAAAAATCTCTAACCCAGCTGACAAAATTCCTGGCAGCAGTAAATGAAGAAGGCTCAGTTTGCCCATAACACCTACTTCTGTTGGGGAACGCCACCTGGTCTTCCCACAACAAATCCCAAGCCAAAAGTTCAGAATTAACAGGTGTTAAGTGCCCTCAACTCATACTGAAGTAAACAGGAATTTAGGGCAATCAACACCACTTAGCACTTACCAAGCTCAGGCCCCATGAACGCTGATTCTACACAGGTTACCAATACCCCAGTAATAGCACCTATCCTCACTTGGCAAGAATTCTACTCCTCTCTCTTTAACTATGCAGAGAGAAGACAATCATGCCTTCTTCCCCCATTCCTTTTCCCCCTCCTTAGTTTGGAAGGAAAAGGAGAAAAGGACACCCTCCCTCCAATTCCTCAACTTCAGAAGCGTCAGGATAGCAGGCCCCCCTCCTCGGTTGGTGAGAGCATGGCAGAGTGAGTGTCTGGGATGTCTGAAAGACAAAAGCATGGGGAGAAGTGAGAGTGATGCAGAGTATGCATGCCTGATTGTGAGGGATGATAGTATAGCAGGGTACCTCTCCTTGGAGGTGTGGTGAGCTGAGATCATGGCACAGTTTGGGGAATAAGCATCATAACTGACAGAGTGTCTTTTATGTACGGGGCTTAAGTGGTGCATTGACTTTGTGTTGGTCCTCTGCACAAGGGTCAGTTTCACCTACAGAGAACAAAGAACAAGAGAGTTTGATAAAAATAAAGACTTATTGTCTGGATTTAAGAGAATTAATGAATAGGGCAACTTAACATCTCCTAAAATCTTCACAGCAGTGGTGAGCGTGGCAAACTGTGTGAAAGGAGAAATGGAGGTAGAGAGCACTTTAGTGAGGGCCAGAGTATTTGTGTGTATGCATACATGGTGACAATACTGCAGATTGTGTCCCTTTGTGTGGCGGAGGATAATGCATGACAGTCTTTATAAGGGTGCTAAGAGGATGCCCGCGAAAGTGCAGGGGGTCAGAATGGTAAAGTCTGTGGAAGAAGCATCCAGGATAGAGAGGAAAAAAATTCTATAGACTTGTCATGAGTAAACAGGCTTGTGAGGAACGTCAGAAAAATGTGAATGAGCTAGGCAAAGCTATGGCAAAGAAATGGAAGAGAGTAAATGTGCAGTAGTGCACAGTGGAGAGGACCATTCGAACAGCTCTTATACATTGATGGGTTCTAGATTAACTGTAACAACTCAGGAAAATTATCTAGGCATCATTCTGGATAGCTGGGTGGGTGGGCAGACAATAGGCTATATTAAGACAGGGAAAGAGAACAGTACTGAACATATAATGATGTTATATAAATGGATGGTATGTACTCACCTTAAATACCCCCAGCCCAGGTCCGAGGCGTCCGACACTAGATCTAGTGAGGGAGGGGGCTCTCAGAAGGGAATATCCTGAAGCATGTTGCTCGGGAGGGACCACCACTGGAGGTCTGCCACCACCCTGAGGAGCACTGTGACCACCTTGTCCAGGCCGTCCCTGGCCTGGGAATACCGGGAGGCCAGCCAGAGCTGAAGGGGCCGCATCCGAAGCCTGGCATGTCTCACCAAATAGGTGCAAGCTGCCGTGTGGCTTAGGATTTGGAGGCAAACCCACGCCGTGGTTACCGGAAAGTCCATGACCGAGGCAATGAGAGCTTTGAGCATCTCGAATCTGTCCCGTGGGAGGGAGGCCGTGGCCACCCGGGAATCTAACAGCGCCCCTATAAAGCTTATGCACTGAACTGGAATTAACGTGGATTTCTCCTCGTTTACCAGTAGGCCTAGAGCTCCGCAGGTGTCTAGCAGGAAGCTCGTCTGCTGTTGCACCAGAGCACGAGACCGGCCCTTGAGCAGCCAGTCATCGAGGTAGGGGAAGATCTGCAGCCCTTTCCTCCTGAGGTGGGCTGCCACCACCGCCATACATTTTGTAAATACCCTGGGGGCAGTAGAAAGGCCAAAGGGGAGGACCGTAAATTGGAAATGGTCCTGACCCACCAGGAAACGGAGGAAGCGCCTGTGACCCTCGAAAATGTGGATGTGAAAGTACGCATCCTGGAGGTCCAGCGCCGTAAACCAATCCCCCTGGTCTAGGGATGGAATAATAGAGGCCAGGGATACCATGCGGAATTTGCAACGCATCAGAAACTGGTTGAGATTCCGCAGGTCGAGGATGGGCCGAAGCCCGCCCTTCGCCTTGGGGATGAGGAAATACCTGGAGTAAAAGCCCCTGCCCTGGTATTCCCGTGGTACCCTTTCCACCGCTCCCAGAGAGAGGAGGCGCTCTACCTCCTGACTGAGGAGGAGGGCATGCTCCGGGGCCCCGGCCGGTTGCCCGGACGGGGGACAGTTGGGAGGGGTTGAAACAAACTGCAGCCTGTACCCTTGGGAGATGGTGCTGAGGACCCATTGATCCGACGTTATATGGGACCATTGCAGTCGGAAGTCCAATAAATGGTTTAGAAAAGGTAACTTTATTAACTGGGTGGGGGGGTACACTGGCAACAGGCTCGGTGACCCCCCTCAACGAGTCAAAAACGCCGTTTTCCTGGCCATTTGGCCTTAGAGGCCCCAGGCCGTAGGGCCGAGCGGGATTGGCGTTGGGACCGACGCCTTTGATCCCTCTACCGCTTAGGTGGCAGTTCAAATCTGCCCCTAGGTTGCGGAGCAGAGGGTTGAGGCCTGGGCTGGTCCTTAGCAGGTGGGACGTACAGGCCTAGCGTCTGCAGGGTGGTGCGGGAGTCCTTCATCCCGTGCAGACGGGTGTCTGTCTGGTCCGCGAAAAGGGCCTTGCCATCAAACGGCAGGTCCTGCATTATGGACTGGGATTCTGACAACAGCCCCGAAAGTGAGAGCCACAACGCCCGTCGCATGGAGACCACGGAAGCCATCGAACAAGCAGCTGTGTCCACTGCATCCGAAGCCTCCTGGAGAGCAGCTTTGGCGGCAGTCGCACCCTCCTCAATCAGCGCCCGGAATTCCTTCGCATCCTTGTCAGGAATGAGGGGCTCAAACTTGGGGAGGGATCCCCAGATATTAAACTTGTAACGGATCAGAAGTGCCTGGTGGTTGGCCACTCTGAGCTGGAAACTCGCTGACAAATAAACCTTTTTTCCAAAGGTATCAAGTCTACGAGCATCCTTGTCCTTTGGCGTGGGCGCGTGCTGGCCATTCCGCTCTTGGTGGTGGACCGACTCTACCACCAGGGAGTTTGGAGCTGGGTGGGTGTAAAGGTACTCGAGACCCCTCGCGGGGACGAAGTACTTCCTCTCGGCCTTCTTGGAAATAGGAGCAAGAGAGGCCGGGGTCTGCAAAAGGCCCGTGGTGATACTGGCGACTCCCTGGTGGAAAGGGAGCGCCACATGCCCCGGTACCGAGGAGGCGAGGATATTGAAGAGGGTATCGGAGGGCTCAGATTTGTACTTAGATTTCCAGAAAGCCTTTGACAAGTTCCCTCACCAAAGGCTCTTATGTAAATTAAGCTGCCATGGGATAAAAGGGAAGGTCCTTTCATGGATTGAGAACTGGTTAAAAGACAGGGAACAAAGGGTAGGAATTAATGGTAAATTCTCAGAATGGAGAGGGGTAACTAGTGGTGTTCCCCAAGGGTCAGTCCTCGGACCGATCCTATTCAACTTATTCATAAATGATCTGGAGAAAGGGGTAAACAGTGAGGTGGCAAAGTTTGCAGATGATACTAAACTGCTAAAGATAGTTAAGAACAAAGCAGACTGTGAAGAACTTCAAAAAGATCTCACAAAACTAAGTGATTGGGCAACAAAATGGCAAATGAAATTGAATGTGGATAAATGTAAAGTAATGCACATTGGAAAAAATAACCCCAACTATACATACAATATGATGGGGGCTAATTTAGCTACAACAAGTCAGGAAAAAGATCTTGGAGTCATCATGGATAGTTCTCTGAAGATGTCCACACAGTGTGCAGAGGTGGTCAAAAAAGCAAACAGGATGTTAGGGATCATTAAAAAGGGGCTAGAGAATAAGACTGAGAATATATTATTGCCCTTATATAAATCGATGGTACGCCCACATCTTGAATACTGCGTACAGATGTGGTCTCCTCATCTCAAAAAAGATATACTGGCACTAGAAAAGGTTCAGAAAAGGGCAACTAAAATGATTAGGGGTTTGGAACAAGTCCCATATGAGGGGAGATTAAAGAGGCTAGGACTCTTCAGCTTGGAAAAGAGGAGACTAAGGGGGGATAAGATAGAGGTATATAAAATCATGAGTGATGTGGAGAAAATGGATAAGGAAAAGTTATTTACTTATTCCCATAATACAAGAACTAGGGGTCATCAAATGAAATTAATAGGCAGCAGGTTTAAAACAAATAAAAGGAAGTTCTTCTTCACGCAGCGCACAGTCAACTTGTGGAACTCCTTACCTGAGGAGGTTGTGAAGGCTAGGACTATAACAGAGTTTAAAAGAGAACTGGATAAATTCATGGTGGTTAAGTCCATTAACGGCTATTAGCCAGGATGGGTAAGGAATGGTGTCCCTAGCCTCTGTCTGTCAGAGGGTGGAGATGGATGGCAGGAGAGAGATCACTTGATCATTGCCTGTTAGGTTCTCTCCCTCTGGGGCACCTGGCATTGGCCACTGTCGGTAGACAGGATACTGGGCTAGATGGACCTTTGGTCTGACCCGGTACGGCCTTTCTTATGTTCTTATGTTCCTCCATCTCCTCGGCCCGGAGCTCAAAGTTGGCTGCCACCCACCGAAGCAGCTCTTGATGTGCTTTAAAGTCCTCTTGGGAAGAGGGAGGCGGCACCGCAACTGAATCGCCCTGTGCCAAAGACATGGATGGTGCAGTGCCTTGGGCGGCCAACGGCACCGTGGGCTCCACGTCCGGGTTCAGTGCCGGAGTCGGTGCTGGGGGTTCGGCGCCCACGGCCTGATCCCGGTACTGGGGAGGTGACGCGGGTCGGCCCTGAGAGGCTCCCGCCATGGAGCGAGGTCCTGGCTGCGCAGGTGCCTGAGGTCACGGTGCCCACTGGCACCGTTGTCCCTGCCAGGAACAGCCTAGAACTGAGGCGCATCAGGCGGCAGGACTGGTTGTTCTTGCGGCGCAGTGCGGTCCAGGGAGAGACGGCTGTGTACCAAAGCCGAAGTCCTGGAAGAGCGCACGGTGCCGTGGGAACGACTGGAGCGGTCTCTATTGTGACGGCTCCTGCCCCGAGACTTCGACCTGGACGATGTTGACAGGTAGATGTCCGAGGAACTGTCTCTGGACTCCCTTCGGCGCCTGTGGCCATGGTGCTGCAGTGCCGGGGACTCTCGGGACGCGCTCCGGGCATGGCCTCTGCGATGGTGGACGCTTGAGTACGAGCGCTGGTGCCGACGGCATCGAGACCTGTTCCTCTCAGAGCGGCTGGAAGAGGAACGGCACCGTCTCTTCTTACCTCTGCGACGGCGTCCAAGAGCGGAGGAGTGGGAACCGCTTGTCGAAGAGCCGGGACGCGGAGTCGACGTGCATCTCAGGGCTCTGCTCAGCACCTCGACCTGGGACGGTGCCTCGACCTCCGACACCTCCGGGGAGGGCTGATGGGCGCCCAAAGGCGGCTTCCCATGGGATCGGGGGCCCGACTGAGGCGGCGCTCCCGGCAACGGAAGCGCTAAGATGTCACGCGCGGCCTGAGCTGCCTCTGGCGTCGAAGGCATGCGTACCTCCGGCGAGGCTCACACGGACGGGACTGGACTACTCCGCTCAGCCCGAGTTGGAGGTCTCTGTCCCGACAGAGATCGCTGGCTGCCCAACTCGGGTCTGGCCTCACCCTTGTCCTTCTCTCGGTGCTGCTGAGACTTCCCTGGCTTCTTAGCTGGGGAGCGGTGCCGGGATGTCGACGGCGCCTCGCTGCGCACCGAGGACACGGTATCGGGTGCCGATTCGGAATGGTGCACTGAAGGTGCTTCGCCATGAGCCAAAGACGCGGAGCCCGGCGCAGTGTCGGCTCGACGCGCCGGTGCCGGGGCCAATGCCGACTCCATTCTTCGTCTGGGGCTTGAAGGAGCGGCAGATCTTGCACTTGTCACTAACGTGAGACTCGCCCAGACAGCGAAGACACTGATTGTGTGGATCGCTTCTGGGCATGGAGTTGCGACAGGAGTCGCACGACTTGAAGCCTGGGCCACAGGGCATGTCCCGAGTCAGGCACTCGCGAAAGAAAGTTCAGTAAGGAAAGAGATCAGTGAAACTGGATACCACTAAGCTAGAAACGCTACGGCTAAGCTAAGCTGGAGCAAGTTCCGACTACCTTCACTGGTGGCAAGAAGGAACTGAGGGTGTGGGGAGCACACAGCCCCCTTTATGGCGCGATATGTTGGCGCCACTCCAGGGGTCGCAGCATTGCTCCCCCTCTACGGATACTGCTAAGGGAAAAACTTCCGGGACCGGTGCACGTGGCGAGCACGCACACCTATAGTGGAATACACATGAGCAATCACTCAAAGAACAACATATAAATAACTAGAGAAATACACCAATCAGCATTGATCTGATTTGCTATAACAATTGTATGACCCTGTGCCTCCTAATTTATTTGTCTAGTAGATATTAATTTGACTTCCATTGCCAAAAAAGTTTTCTTTTACAGGTAAAAAAAAAAGAAAAAAGAAAATGAAGACCCAACCTATTGAAAAAGAAAGGAAAACATAAATACAGCTGCGTAACATAGCAGCAATTCAGTTAAACTGTGCCCACACTGCAGTAACAAAGAGAAATTCAGTAAGGAGACAAAACCATGTACAACGAAATCATAAAATAATTTACACACAGGTGACTTGAGAACTTGCTTGTAAATGACATGACAGACCCTACTATGAATCAAATCACCTGAATCACGCCATATCACTTAAGCATCTAGTTGTCCACATAAGTGAGGAAGTGGAAATTCCCCCACATGGTTGGCCCGTTAATTTGTAAGGCTGCCAGTGGGTCAGTCATTCAGAAGACCCATCAGGAACCAGTCAAAAATCTAATGGCCTTTAGAAAGGGTGTGACCATCAACTAGTCACTGCCATTTTACCAGAGTATGGAAAAAGGGTCAGTCTTGTGGGCCCCACTACACAGTTGCAGTTGGAGACCCACAGCTCACTTTAATGAGTAACATGCAAGTATAATGAATCAAATGCTGTTATCAGATGAACATCTAGGGAACTCACAATGTCAATGGGAACTGCCCACATGCATAAGAGGGCAAAATTTGACCCACAGAGTAGACCAGCGTTTCTCAATCTGTGGGTCAGGACCCAAAATTGGGTCACCAGAATGTTTCAAAGGGTTGTGTGGCAGGTCCTGTGGCTCGTGTCCCACGGGGCTGGCTGGGTTCACCTCCCTACTCCAGGCACTGCAACCTCTGGTCCCAGCACCACTCAGGTATAGCCCAGCCGTCACGATGATGGGAGTACGGGAAGGCCAAATTTGAGTGAGTGGCACTGCAACCCCATGAGCCAGGTCACAAGTCCAATCACACAAATCTGGTCCAGTCAGGGGGGCAGGGCCAAACCTGCATAGCACTGCAAACCCGGAAGTTGCAACGCCCAGAGCAAAGAGCCAAGCCCAGCCAGCCCCACAGCACAAGAGCTGCAGGAACCACCACTGTGGGGTGAATGCGGGCAGGACCCAAGCCCCCTAGGGGGGGAAGGATCTGACCAAAATCACCCCAAAACCTCCACCCCCCAGACTATTTACTGGGTCACAACAAGCCATAAACATTTATAAATGGGTCCTGAGCCCCAAGAGGTTGAGAACCACTGAAGTAGAAGATAGGACCGTTAAAGCTCAGGGGGAAGAAAAAAATAGCATTTTGCAATTTTCCTAGGAAAGTTACATGTAGGAAGTAGGAAATGGAATGTGCAAGAATTTTAATAATTATAATGAATAGAACAGATTAAAATTATTATGCTATTTGGAATTTTATACTGAAACTCTACCCCTACCTGTTCAACTTTGTCAGGGCAGTTTTCCCTGGTTAGGGCCTAAGCAAATGGTATATTCTCTATTAATAGCTAAACTTTTGCTTTTCTATACCACACATATACTGACTTTTATCCATATGGTCATCAGTACCAAGATTCACAACAAGGAGCTTTCACACAATGCTAGGCATAATTAAATAAGCCATATTTCAATTTTTTACTGTATAATGTGCGAGTACAAATTCTGAAAGGAAATTTGTGCACTGTGTTACTCACAACCTGAAATTATAAGATTTTTATACAGCCCTTGGGCTGCGTGAAATTGCAGCACATGGAGGCATACAAGTCTAACTTCTTATTCTCTCAAAAAAGCATCCTCTCTAGGTCCTCACAAAAATGAGCATTTTCCTCTTGCCACAAATGTTGGCAAGGGAATTGTATATAATTTCAGGCCATTTCACGTCTAGTCATTCATTTTTCAGATGTTAAAGAAGATTTTTTGAAAACATATATCAAAATCAAAAGAATGCCTGATCTCAATATACTCAGCCCGCTTATACTGTACCTATGGAAATGCATTTGTTGATTATCAGCACAAATCCAGAAAGCAAGCACACAATTTTAACAACAAGGAAATAGAAGAGTAATGAAGTTAACTTCCATTTTGGAATATATCACAAAGTAAATCATTATGGCTGAAAGAAATTGGGGTAAAGTTTTCAAAAGAACCCAACTGACTTAGGAGCCTGAGTCCCAGTGAAATTCAGTGCCTAAGTCACTATTGAAAATGGGACTTCTCTCTGTCAGAGAAATTTTGACAGAGCCATATTCCATCAGGTCAGTTTTGCCAGAATATTGTTTTGAAAGACAACCGGAAAAAAATCAAGTGCCAACAATGTCACATTACAACATTTTCAGAAGGAAGCATTTCAATTTTTCATTTTGAAATATTTTATTTTGTATTATGTACATTCTATATTTATCATAATAAATTTTTAAAGTAAAAATGGAAAGTATATATTTTGATTTTTGTCAAAACAAAACATTTTCATCAACCCAAAACAATTTTTATTTTTAGTTTTCCTCTGTAGAGAATTCAGAAGTTTTGTGGGTTGTTCTGATTCAGAACAAAGCCAGATTTTTAAACCTCAAAATCCTTACAAAACAGAATTTCTGTCCTTCACACAGCTCTTCTCCCAAGTCACTTAGATACTTTTGAAAATTTACCTCTGAGTTACTGTTCCACATAATATGTTATGTCAAACAGGATGTTAAAAGAAGAAATCACATTTTAGTGCACTTTGAGATGATAATTATTTTAACGGTTGTTGTAATTAAAGAGAAGTACTGTGGTAAATAAAAAGAACTGGGCAGTGTGTTTTACTACACAACTTAACAAGTAATTAGTAGGCTGGTTAGGAGAGTACTATATGTGCCTAAAATAGTTTCATATTCTTTTACTTTAATCTCAGATATTGTATAATACACCCAGAATTCAAAGTACAAAAGCTATGTCATTAATATTGTTACCTTAATTTCATAAGTTGTTCCAGGGTTAAGATTGGTGAGAAGAACTTCCAAACTATCTGGTTTTGTTGTTACTTGGGTATAAGTTGTTTGCATCCATGGGCAGACCTCCTTATATTTAACAATATAAGATATAATCCTCCCATTTGGATGTGGTGGTACATTCCAAGAGAGCAGAATTCCTGCAGATCCTACTTTTTCACCGGCAAGGAACACCGGGGGTCCTGGATCTGCAAAAAGAACATTCTTCAACTAAATTATCAGATAACAATTCATATATCTTCACAGTTAATGCATACAAATAAAAGCATTTTTCAGCATAGACTTCTGAAGTGCCTAAAGACTAATGTGCTCGTAAATATGAAGCTTTTTTCTCCCTAGAACAGTATTTCAAAAGCTGATTAAATGCTTTTTTGGAACACTAGGAACATTCTTTTATAAGAATGTAAAAAATGGAATGCTCAAAATCTTCACAGACAAAATAGAGTTTGATGCCAGATATTTTGCCAGTTTTAAGAGATATTTTTATAGCTTGCTCAGTTTCAGGATTCTTCACCTAAAACTACATAGAAATCTGTGCCACTGTTTTAGGAAAAGTGTTTGCTACTAGTATACTTTTTTAAAGAAATCATATCAAATGAAGATGTCTATATGTATAGTTTGAAATGTGTAAAATACATAATATACAAATAAGAGCAAATACTTCCATAACTATCCATTAGGATTAATAAAACTTTCAATCACAACCAGATTCTCCTTAAAAACAATTTTTAGAGGAACTTCAATTTTCTTCTAGCCTACTCAGCAGATATACATGATGATTGTTTAAAGACAACAAATAACTGTCTAATATTTTCATGCAAAAATAGCACTACCGGGTTCAAACTCATTACTGACTGTAACCTATAAAGAAATATTGTACCTATTTTAAGCAGCAAATCAAGCAATTATTTACCAGGAATGGGCAAAATGTGATACGTCATAATTAACTCATAATTAACTCACAGGTTACATTAGTTGTCACTGTTCTACTGACTGGTGAACTGTATGCTGAAGAAGAAACTGAAGAAACTGTCACATTATATGTTGTTCCAGGAGTAACGCTAGAAAAATCAGCCTAAAATATCAAATTAATCCATATAAGTCTTTTGCCAAGATAAGTACAAACAGATAATACAATTTTAAACATGATATAAGGTGACATGACATAATACACATTACAGCAATAAAAACACTACATCACATATGTTTGCTGCAATATAGCATTTTGTAATTGTATTTAAGTTACCCACCATAAGGCTTGAATAACATACAATATTAAAAAACAACAAAATTAACAGTAAAAAAAAATTCTGTAAAAAAAAATTGTCTATCATAGGGTACCATCATGGTAATATTTAAGTGCATGTGAAGCATTAGAAAGTCCTGCTCTTCTGAGGGAAGAAATAAAAAAATATTATAAAGATCCCTGAAAAACTTTCAAGTTTCCAACATCTATCCATCTTATCTTTTGAAATAAACATCACACGCCTTAATAGTAAGTATTTATACAAAATACCTGTGTCTCTGCAGTTCCAATTAAAAACAAAAGCAAAAGAACCAGAAACGTCATTATTATTATAATATTTTTTCAGACAGTAGAATCAAAAAGTGCTCCTACTTCTTTTTGATGGCTTAACAGGGAAATGTTGCCTGCATTAATGATTTAAGGCTAGATCTTCTTGGCAAGTACACAATTAATGAGCCTGTATTACTCAATAGCTCTGCCCTTCCTTTGTTAAACTATTCATGAACTCTTGGATGACTGGCTGTAGGTTTATAGTAGATGTAAAAAAAAAGTATTATAACCGTTGTTAAGGTAACAAACCACAGATGTTGAAATTTCCTCTCACAAATTTGGCATTAGTACTTTTGTATTCTAATCTATGTTAAAAAGCTAAAAGAAGTAAGCTTCATGGTTGGTCAGTTCTGCAAAGAATTTTCCCATCAGCACATTGCATAAACAAAAGTTGGCCATCCAAGTACTACAATAAAAACACATACCCGATACTTCCCACCTCCAAGATCTAGGATAGTAATAAAGCCATGACCAGGAATAAGATCCACATGAAACCTTTCCACACGTCCATAAGGTAGTCTCCAATTCAGTGAGAAGGAATGTGACGAAACATTGAAGGCTTTAAGACCCTCTGGCTTTGCAGGTTCTGAAAGTGAATTACAAATTAAGAACAGATTAACCCAAACAAGGCTATATGTGAAGGTAATTTCAACAAAAGTATATTACTGGTTACAACAGATAATAAAGATTATCCGTCCCTGTCATTGGAGGTTTTTAAGACAAACATCTGTCAAGGATGGTCTAGATACACTTGGTCCTGCCTCAGCACAGGGGGCTGGACTAGATGATCTATGGAGGTCCCTTTCAGCCCTATATTTCTCTGATTCTATAAAGATGTCCATCTAGAGTTATATCTGGTTTACTCACTACATAAGGGCCTGATCCTGCCCCCACTGCAGTCAATGGCAGAACACCTGCTGAATTCAGTGAGAGCATGATTAGGGTCTATCATTTTATTAAAATCATTAAAGAACTCAAAGGGCCCAATCCTACAGTACTCACTCAAGCAAAACTCTCATTGACTTTAGTGGGATATGGCCCAAAATCACCAAACAGCTTTTTGTCCCAGTTCATTTTTAAAATATATGAATGGCACATTATTAAGGCCCTGTTTCAGCACTCAGTCTCTATTCAGCAAGCACTAATGCATGTGCTTAACTTTATATGTGTGCTTAAGTCCCAACAATCACCTCAAAGTTAAATTCAAGCCAGTTCTACGTGGCTTCCTGAATAAGGATGAATGTAAGCATGTGTTTAAATGCTTTGCTGAATTGGGGGCAAAGGGCTCATCCAGGAAAGTTGCTGAACCTTACACAGGCTGAAAATGGATAGATAGATAGGGAAGTAATATGCTGAGAACATATTTACCTACTCCCTCTTCATGATCAGACTGTTTAAATGTCTCTGCTGGAATGAACCCTAAAAGGAGCACTGTCACTGGAGCTCTGAAATAGCCATATTTCACATTTTGTTCTGCTTCTTATCATAAAGTTAATATTTCTTTATAACTCTTCAAATACTGGGGAGTCAAATAACGGCAGGCCGTTCTGTTTGTTTCAGTTAAGCCCCCAAAATCTGGATGTTTAATTCAAACGTATCTTCTCCCTACATCCCCTCTTCTTTTACTGCACCTGGGTCTCCCTCTCCACTCCCTTCTTGACATCGTGTTTCACCTTCACTCCCTTCCTTCTTTTCCTCCCTCTGTCTCAAATTTAAATCATTCTTTGCTCCCCTTCAGACTCAAAGCTGAATCAATCAGTTTTCTTTAGCAGGTCATTAAGAGTCATCCTCCTACTTGATAAAAGAAGTGCTCTCGCCCATGTGCATCCCTCTGCATTTCTCCTCCTCTCCTTTCTGTAATCTTGGAGTATCCTCAACTGAAAGATCTCCTTTGCACATGTCACAGAGCAAGTCCACTCACTAGCACCTTCACACATGTGCCACTGCCCTAGCACTCATTCTGCTGAATCACTCATTCATACATATGTCATTTCACAGCTTGATTAGAGCAATTCCTCCCTTCCAGGCCTCCCAGTATCGCTCATATCCCAACTCCATGCTGTGCAGAGTGCTACATCCAGGGCCGGCTCCAGGGTTTTTGCCGCCCCAAGCAGTCCCCCCCCCAAAAAAAGCCGCGATTGCGATCTGCGGCACTTCAGCAGGAGGTCCTTCACTCCGAGCGGGAGTGAGGGACCCTCCGCCGAATTGCAGCCGAATAGCTGAACGTGCCGCCCCCCTCCGGAGTGGCCGCCCCAAGCACCTGCTTGCTAAGCTGTTGCCTGCAGCCGCCCCTGGCTACATCATGCCACATCACCCACTCCAACATATCACATTACTCCTTTCACAAAAGATCTCCACTGGTTCCTCATCCACCACAAAATTACTCTTATAACCTTCAATGCCCACCATGATCTCAGCCCCTCTCATTCTCCTTACCCATTTCCCTGTGCTCTGTCAATTCTGTCCTTGTCTCAGGTCCTATTCCCCTTTTTCTCCTCTGTTGAAGACTATACTTTTGTTCCTGCCATGCTCAATATCTAGAACCTTCTACCCATACCCCTTTGCCTCACAGAGTCTCCAAATGGAGGTCAAAATACTGCGGACAGCGAGCTCCCAACCATTTTCCCACACTATCACTTTTGCTATTCATGTATCTCCTGTCTTTTTGTCACCATTATCTAATGTCCCAAACTCCTATGATATGTATATTCTCATTACAACAGTGAGGCATTTGGAGAGACCGTAGCTATAGATTTTATTGTATTGTAATGACCAAGAAGGCACTGATCAAAGTGCAATTTCTGGTACAAAAACCTCTCCCTGTATTTTGTGAAAATCCAAATAGGAACTCTGTGTGCAGAGAACTTGCAAATTCTGTCTGTGTTCAACTGAGCCACACAAATCCCTTATTACTAGTATCAGTTGCACTAGACACAGGGGGTTGATTATGGTCCCCAATACAGCTTCTTTCCACCCCTGTGGTAGTGTACATGAGTCATGTGTCCAGCACAGACTGAGCTGACCAACTGGTCCCCATCACAAATCCCTGTATAGAGAGCATGCTGGGTGTGAGGCAGGAGTAGGTGTGGAGTGCTATAGAGATTCTGGGCTGTTGCAAAGCCCAAAGGCAACCTGGGGAGGCTGCCTAAGGTTAGTTCTGGCCATTGCAGCAGCCAGAATCCAGAGGGTGCAATGATGGCATGAAGCCATCTTTGCTCTCCACCCCGGGCTGTGAATCTTAGGAGAAAAGCATGGAATTCAGCCCTAAAATTCCAATTTGAAAATGAAAGTGTTGTTGCCTTAACTGAAAGCTTCCATGGCATTCTTTACAAATATAGCCCTAGTGGTAATCTCAGTAATTGATAAATAAATCATATTAACACTAATGGGATTTAGAAAAAGGGGTAGATCTCAACAGCAGTTTTGCATTCGTAAGGAAAATGTGGCAGTGCTCTATGATCCAAATCTAGACTCCAGTGCCTGACTCATTTAGACATGTTGAATGCTAGACAGATGCATACTGTGGACAGGGGAACTCTCCCCTTTCCAGGTCATGCAGTAGTTGCAGAGCCACTTCACAGAGGCTATTCCAGTTTTCTCAGCAGATATTTTACAACTGATGTAGTGGACAGGAGGATCTACCGCATGGCAAATCCTGTCTTTTCCCCCTAAACTCCTACTTCCTACACACTGATGCAAAGAGAAGTCAGGACCTAGGCTCCCTCATACAGAGGGAATGCACTCTTTACCTGCCCTCCTGTCCCACACATACACACAACCTGCCTCTTCTCCTTTCTCTTGCAAAATAAAACTGCAATGGTCACACTCCAGAGGACCTGTGGATGGCCATGGAGCAGGGGGCTAGATTTGCCCTTGAATGAATAACTCTCTATACGTCAGTATAAGTCCATACCTTGAAGAATTATCTGATGTGTTGATTTTCCTTTATTGAAAGAAAATCAACACTGATCACAGAAAATTATTACAAATTGTATAAACAAATTCACCTTTGCTTGCCTCTCTTTTATCCATTGGCTTAACCTAGTGGCCTACTTTCCCTGCTCCCTAAGTTAGCCAATAGGAAGTACAGTTAGGGTCCAAAGTCCAGGCATCTATCTTTCCTTGGAATTCATAGCTGTGAACCCTCTCTTGGAGCTAGAATGTGGGACTCGCAGGTTCAGTTCCTCCTTCTGCCTAATGTAGAGCTGTGATTTGAACTTCAGTTTCCTACCTCTTAGATGAGTGCCCTGACCAGTGGGCTATAGAATCAATCTCAAGTTCTCTCTGGTCCAATGCATATTTAATTATTTGTACATAGTGCAATGGCTTCAAAAGGAATGAATGTGAGTGCTCCACCTCACTATCCCATAGTCCAATGGTTAGAGCATTCACCTGAGGGGTGGAAATCCCAAGTTCAAATCTCTGCCCTGTATTAGGTGTGCTCTGAGATATCTACTGGATCAAGCCCTTCAGGCAAAAGAGCTGGGGGAATGCATTGTTTGAGTATCCTGCTGGTGCTTAACTGTGAGATATGCAACCAGGTGCCTAGATTGAGGCAGCTGTGTGTATGACCACTGTCAAAAACTTAGGCCTGTAGGGATTTTAGGCACTTCCAGGATTCAGCAGCAGCTAAGCATGGGTTTCGAAGATCTCAGTGATGTCTAAATGTTCAACTAAGGCCTGGTCTACACTACGACTTTAATTCGGATTTAGCTGCGTTAATCCGAATTAACCCTTCACCCGTCCACACTACAGAGCCAGTTAATTCGAATTAAAGGGCACTTAAAATCGATTTCTGTACTCCACCTCAACGAGCGGAGTAGTGCCTAAATCGATTTTGTTAATTCGAATTAGGGTTAGTGTGGCCGCACACCACCGAATTACTGTGGTTAAAGTAATGGGGTAGTGTGGCCGCACACCACCGAATTAATGTGGTTAAAAACCGAATTAATGTGCTTAGTGTGGCCGCGCACAATCGAATTTATACAACCTGT